TTTTGTAGTTAATTAAGCATTTTCATTAATTTCTAATTATTTTAAGTTTTTTTCCTTTTACATTTCTTTAATTCTTTTTTTGATTTTTCTTCTCTCAATAACTCTAAATTAATATAATTAATACCCTCTTAAAATATCAGTAATAGAATTTATAGCAAAAATATCTACTACAAATTATTATGTTTTCTTTCCAATTAAATCAGGATATCTAGATTCCCATGATTTTCTTATTTAACGTAGAATAATTTTATCTTCAATTTATTCTATTCCTTTAAGTTCATTTTTCTTTTTTATTGCATTATAAGCTAATTGAATGCATATATCTTTAAAATGAACCATTTAATTTTGATATATTTAAATTTGATAATCACTTAGTTTTTGAAAGATTTCAGTTTTAAATAATCTCATTTTTTTCTTATGGTTATAGAAATGGGACTTTAATTTTTGATTTTCTAAATATCGTTTTCTATTTTACTTGCAGCAGCAAAATCATAATATTGCGAATTTTCATCTTTAAACCCTAAAGGTGGATTTATTTCGAACATCAAAAATGCAAAATCTTCTGGAGTTATCCAACCTGTACCTTGAGGATCATAATCGGACCATTTAACTAAGAAATCTTCTAATTAATATGGATTTATAGCTGCAGTATTTTCTAATTAACATTCTTAATAAGATTCAATAATCATAGCTAAAAATAATGAAGTCATTATTATTCGAATTAAAACCAAAAAACTTATAAAGAAAAAATAACCAAAAATTGTACTACAACCACGAGCACCTTCTAATTCAAATTATTCAGGAGTTTATGTATGACATCCTTTAGTATCAATTGTATAATCAGCCATATACAAAGACCAATATTAACCAGTTGAAATATCAATTAAAATTAATACTCCATCTAAGAAATTGGAAAAAGATTTAGTTCTTTAGTTTTCCTCCATTGTATAAGGATATTAAGGATCTGATGAAGTACTCCATATTGTTGAAAAAGTTTGAACTCCTATAAGTGAATATATAATTATAGTAATTGCAATGAAAACAATAACACTTAATAAAGTAGGCATCAAATCTTAAATCACATCAATAAGAACTCTTAATTATTTATTAAATCTAAATAATTTATTGGCTTTTATGATTCTCAAAGATCTAATAATAAGTGGAATAGTATAAAGTCTTGGTATATCAAAGTTATCTTTCATAATTAAAAGTACATCTGTCATTATTAAAATGATTAAGTCAAATTTATTTAGAATATCTCTGAAAAAATGAACCCAATATGCTAGCAATTTGATGAACAATTCAATATGGAAAATTACTATAAAGAAAATACTCATTCCATATAATGCCTCTTAAGTAGTAATATTTTACTTCCCACTATAAGATGAACAACTAGATATTAGAAAAATAATTACAATATTAAGTTGACAATAAGAAAAATTAGTATGACAGTCTCAAAGTATTAGTTACTAGCCAAATGATAACAAATTAATCTATATTTATTTGAAGGTTTAGGTATTAGATATATTAGTTTTTTCTTTTACATTATTTACATCATTTATATCCATTATCTTTAAAATTCATTTAATTATTAAAAATTTGCAATATTCTCCTTTATAGTTCTGTAATTATTTATGATTAAACCAGTAATTAGATTAAGTAATACAATATTCAATGAAAAGATCAAAACATAAAAGAAGAATTAATATTAAGATGATGAATTAATTTTAGGATTGAGTCCTCTATCTGTAATATCAGATACACTAAACATTTATTATGTCCAACCCTCTCCTATAATTAATCTGAATAAACAAAGTAAGGAATCTTAGATTGTATCATAATTAGTTATATTATTTATCCATTAACCTCCTTTAGCTAAACAATCTTCTGCAGTAATAATTTCTTTAAAGTCTTTCAAAGATACTTAAGAGCAAAAATAAAGTTTGCCTTTCCAAATTGTCATACAAATGATACTTAAAATCCATAGACTTATACCAGTAACAAAAATCATTGATGAAAGTAATGAGATGGTTTATAATAAGGATCTGGATATTAAATTTAATTACTCATTTTATGAACCTCTCTAAATATATCTTAATTAATTACCCTTAATGTGATTAGAATTCTTAGAGTTCTTAGAGCTCTAAAGGCTTTAAGATATTAGCTTTTATAAATATTAAGATCATCAAGAGAACTAATAATAAGAATAACAAAATCTAATTAATTATTATTGTTCATTATATATGATTTTTGAGGTTCTAATTTATTCCAATAAAAACCTTAAGCTAATATTTTGATTAATGCATCTAATATAAAAATACCAGTAAATGCATAATTAAATATATCTATAATTAAATATTCTTATCTAAGTGGTCTATCATATCCTAAAAGTATTAAATTTAATAATATTATAAAACTCATTCCCCAATCATAATATTTTTATTGAATAAGTACATGTAATTTCTTCCTTAAATTAGATTTATTATGTAGAATAAAAAGTGATGAGTTAGCAAAGAATTCTTTACGATTTAATGAAGATACAGAGAAATTTTAAGAATCATCACCACTTTTTAATATTTATACTTAATAATATTTAGATTATTGTCTTCTTAATATTTAATGTTGTTTTTAATGACTCTCTTCTTTATCACTATCATCAGATACCTTTGACAATCTTCCAAAAAAGCGTTTTTTATCAGATTATGAATTACTAACCTATAATAATGATGTCTCTTTTGTTGGTACAATTCTTGATTTATTTTACATTGTTGAAATAACTTTAGTTGCTCTAGCTTTTGAAAGATCAGCTTCATTTTTAGCATCTTCATAATTATCAAGCATTAAAGTCAAAAAAGAAGGTAATATAAAGAATTTACAAATAAATTAGACACAAATAAAAAAGACATATGGAATCCAAGATCCAGTTTCCAAAGTTGTATAAAATATTGTTTACCATTAATCTGATGATATGATTATAAATAATGTAGTAATAGTTTCTCTCATACTATCAAAATTTGCCCTTGGAATATAAGAACCATTTAAATCATAGAATCCTAAATCATTAAATCTTAATTTTCCAGCAAAAAAGTTTCTACCCATTAAACCAATTACTAATCCATAAATAAAAAGTATTAAAATCATTATAGGAATATTATTAAAGGATTTCCATAATGCTGATAATAATACTCTATAATTAGACCAACTTGTTTAATAATTAAACACCCATAATAATCTTATTCCTTTAATTGTATTTAATATAAAAGGATGTTCCATTTAATTTACTTGAACTATCAAACCAATAAAATCACATATAAATTCTAATAATACTACTATTTTACTTTCCTTTTATTTCCAAATATATATTCTTGCTATATCTTCTAATAAATATATTACTAGAAATATTATATTTACTTTAGCTAAAGTACCTTCTAAATTATTTTTATATGCTGATTCATCATTTAAAGATAAAACAACAAGATTAGCCAAAAATAAAAGACTATAAAAATATTGTGTTATTTTTGATTATAAAATAGATTTGATAATTATTCTAATCTTTCTTTAATCATTATTTCTTTTAGTTGAATTCATTAGCATCATCATAACTCTTTGTTTACTTTTACTAAGATAATTAGGACTCTAAAACACAGTCTTTCTTTTTTCATTTGTTAATGATATTTTAGTATGACTATTCAAAAATAATACAGTTTAAACAGGTTCATCTAAATGCATCTCTTATTGAGATTACTTAAGAAATATTGCAACAACTAAATTTTATAAAAAGAATGAACATATAAATATATAAGTCCATAAATATCCTGTACTTACATATTTATTGAAAGAATCTGCTAAACTTTATTCTATTTCTACCCATCCTTCAATATAATGAACTATAAATAAACTAGACATTGATTCTTATATATAATCAAATCTAGTGAAATTATGTGAATATTAAATAAAAGGTTATTCAAATTCACCCTATAAACATTCATATCCATCAGAACAACTTCTTCCCAAACCACAAAATCTAGTTGGATAAAAATCAACTTCATTATTTTTGTTGATACAATAATTTCCTAAAATTCCAGTCCAAATTTACAATCCTACAACAGCAAATACATAAAAGAAAAAACAAATTATTATTGTAATATAAACAATTGATATAAATGAATGTTCTACTGTCAAACAAAATTTTCGAACAATTCTTAAAATTTTGTAATGCATAAAAAATTCAAGCAAAAATAATATTCTTAAGGTATAAAAGTAAGATTGTCTTAATATTAATGCAAAGAATAAGGCAATTCCATTTATAAATGCTATAGGATTTCTATAATATCCATATTTACAACTCCATAATCTATATAGTTATTTTAAATACCCATAAGAAACTATTGAAATAAGATGATGAATAGAAAATATTACATCTGCTGTAATTATTACACCTATTATCTAATCATTATTTAAACTAAATCCAAATCCACTTTCCTAATTATTGTAAGGTTTAATCATTAAAATTACAATACAAAATGATGTCTAAATAGTTTGTAAATAATACGAATAAGTACACAAGATATTAATAAACTCGAGATTCATTTATTAAAATGCAATATTGTCTAAATTTATTATTCATTCCAAAATAATCTAAAGAAAATTAGCAATAATAAGGATTCTCATTTTTTTAAAACTGTTCATCAACATTTTCTAAAAAATGTAAACGAATGTTTGCTTATGATGGATTTGGTGAAAAAATCCCTTATTCTTAGTTTAACCTATTTAAATCATTTGTTGCTTAAAATTCCTTATTATGACTTCCTATTTAATTGATATTTTACTTATTATATTAATGTCTCTAAAAGGAGAAGGGCAAAATGTCTTAAACTGAAGATAGGATATCCTTTCCATAATCGCGATTCATCCTAAACTTCGGTTACTTTTTGAAGCAATTTAAAAAAGACTAAAGCATATAAATAATATAAATTTAGTATTATTCTCAAAAATTTTCATCAAATCCATCTCTTCCTTTAAGTATTTTAATTTGATTGAAAAGATCCTCCAATCTTACTTATTCGTTTATCACCTTAAGTTTTTTAATACTCTGATAAATATCCTGGAATCCAAATTTCTTTATTTTCCAAACACGATTTAGAAATTTCTGGATGTAACATTTTTCTTATTTCTGATTGACTAGGTGTTTTAAGAGTTTAAGTTTTCTATATTATTTATGGTTCATTAAAAGCATCATTTTCACTATCTCTTTATGATTTTAAATATGCATCATCAGCACTAATCTTTCTTTAATGTTATAGTCCTTGTTAATATTTTATTCTTCTTTTCCCTACAGCATTAATTTCTACTGGTTTAATAGGTACATTTTTATTTAAAGTAAATCCTACATGAGCAATACTACTTCTTCTTTTGAGAGTGTGTTACATTTATTGTAATTTTTATTCTTCTTAAGCATATGTTAATTTTTGTTGACTATGTGAAGCTATCCCATTCTTACCTCTTATTTACATTAATTCGAGAGTAGTTTTCTTTTGATTCTAATTATTATTGTTTTTTAGAAGATCTAAAATAGATGATGATTTTGTATTAATTTTGTGATAATTTTCAATAGAATCAAAAGGTTTTGAGGAACTTAAAATAATATAAAGTTTTTTCTTACTTTGAAATTTTAATGTTGTACATAGCATATTATACAAAGTTCTTAAGCAAAGTATTTGTAAAGGGATACTTTGTATCAATTTCAAACATACATGCTAAAGCTTTTGGATACTCAATAATTGATGGTCCTTCATCACTTTCTGCAAGACATATAAATTTCTTTTCAGAATTATTGAATTAGAAATTGTGAACATCCCATCTATTCAATAACGGTGCTAAAAATCGTGATTCAATATCTTTAAATGCCTTTGTTGTTTTAATTTAATTAATATTACCCAATGTTATAAATAAACATTTCTTATTGAAACAACAGTTTCAGTGTTTTTATTTTTACTTAGAAATGACCCAACTTATTTAGATTTGTAAATAGGAGCTTTAACAACATACTTTCCTATTGATTAGAATTCTTATGCTGCACTTCTTAAATGAATTCCTACATTCAATTTTGGAATCCATTCAGAAGTTTCATAATTAAAAACATATAAATCTCCTGATGTATTTTCCAAAAACATATCACTTTACTAAATTTGAACTTTCAACTCTCTTAGATCTGATAATTTACCACCATTCTAATTGATTAGATTGATAGGCTAAATATATATTACATATAGTTATTACTCTCTCAATATTAGATGCTGATAAATATACTAATGCTTACATGGCAAACCCTGAAGCAAATAGTAATTTCTATACTCTTAAACACATTCTCAACAAAACCAATATTTTTGCTAATTATAATCCTTAGATTCATACCCATATGAACAGCCCAAGGTCGTGTATGACAATCTCCAATAATGAATATGACATCAAGTTGATCGAATTTTAGAGCTGCTTCCTTTTTTACATAAGAACTTTCTACTTCATATAGAAAGTCTTCTATAGTATCTCTATTACGAACATAAAATTCATTTTCTGTATCTATTAACTCTTTTTATTCAGCTAAATACTATATTAGTATTAGATGTTACTTTCATGACATGAAATTGGAAATGTTAAAATTTTTCTAGGTCTTTGTTATCATAGCAATTAATTATTAAAATTCTCATTATAAAAAAATAATAAGTTATTTTATTTGACTTGATGAAAGTTGAGTTTGTTATAAGTTATAAATATATGATTTACAAATAATTCAATATATCATAAGAAAATTTTGAGGATAAATTGATGACTGTAAACATAGATCCAAATAGTAACAGAGTAATTATAAAATTATCAAATATTAAGAAGAAATAATTTAAATATTCATCATTTTTCATGTATCCCAAGAATTCCTTTGACAGTGATTTTATTTTTGTTTATAGTTTATAATCCAATCCTCATTTCACCAGGTTTAGATATACCTACAACAAATTTATGAGTTTCAATTTTATTAGAGAAATAGTCATTTTCTATTTGATTCTAGCATTTATCCTATAAATCTGTATCCATATTGACATATTCATCTTGATTGGAGTTAGGAGAATTTTTTGATTAGTAATCGATATTCATGACAGATTAATTTTTGCTGGACTTTAATTAATTTATAAAGTAATTTGTGAATTAAAATTTAGAATTCTGTTAATTTATATCAAATTTCGAATAAATAATAGAGTATCAAAAGTATTATGAAATAATCAAAATTTTCTTATTTTGAAAGATTGATCTGGAGATATTAAGGCTTATTCTTATAATCCTCCTGATTGTTAATCACTTTGCCATCTATAAATAGGAATATCTTCCTTTTTAGAATGACCATCATCTGAACAATTGGTATTTTGATGGATATTTTCTGGTCTAGCTTGTTCATTTGATAAGACTTATTCTACAACCTCTTCTTCAAGAAATTCATTACAATCTTGATCAATACTAATTTATAAATTGAAACAATTACTATTGATTATTCATAGTTTTTTGATCAATAGAAGAATCCTGTTCTTCTAAATCTTCTTCAGTGAATTATTTCTATTTAACTGCTAACTTCTTAATTAGTTTTTTAGAGAAAGCCTCCCATGCTTTGTACATGATGAGTACTGTCAAATAATCATGTAAAATATTGAAATTGGCTTTCAAATGTAAAATAGGACTTATATTAGTTCTTTATAAAAATCTGTTTCTTCTATAATACATTAATCTTAGTTGCATTTCTTTATTAAATTATTTGATCTTCTTAATTGAAGAAGATGTGCCATTTTTGAATACTTCAACATGATAACAAACTCTAAATAATTCATATATTAATTGATTATATTGAATATATCCAAAATGATCACTAAATTATTAATATTAATAAATACCATTATAATTTGAATGAGGAAGCCAATTTTCCAACATCCCATAAATTCTCATCATTTCCTCCTCCCAAAGGTTTCCCAATATCTAACAAGAAACGACATAAAAATTTATAGTGCATAGCTTAACCTTTAGTTTCTGAAGAATATTTGCACCAAATAGTTTTGATCTTATCAACATTTTCAACATAAGTTTAAATCATTGAATTTTAAAGCATAAAGAATTATTCGAATTATTCAACTAAGCCTAAGACAAACAAATTTAAAAGAACATAGTTTGATAATAACATAAAGAGGAAGAAATAGATTTAATTAGATATGCTTCCACAATAGATGTCATCTTCAATACAATTAGGGTTATAGAACATAGTGTCAGTCATTATAGTTCTCCAATCATCTCCTGATGCACATTTGAAAAGTGATAGCATAGCTTAAGCAACATTTTGAAAATTAATTTAATCATCCATTACTTATCCTTTTTCTAATTAACCATATAATTAACAACCAAAAAGTGCAAAAATATACATTGTAATAATTAATAAACAAAATATCTTTCCCAAAAATGGCATAGCAAAGACCATTACTCTCATTAATCTCTATAGATTTATTAATCCTTAGAAAATCAATATAATTCTTAAACATCTAATAGCAAAGAATAACCTAAGGATTTAATATCCAGAATCAGCTGGAGATGATCTGAAATAGACCAATGCCCAATCTGATTCATAATCTGCAATAATATCAATAATGGCTATAATAATCAAGAAAAAGTAGAATCTTCTCCAATGATTATCAAAAAATCTGTTGACTCCTAATGCTAAAAATAGGAAGACATTCCATATTATGTATATATAAGTTAAACAATTATGAGTATCATTTAATACTCTGAAAAGATTATCATCCATCTCTGAAAAGAAAAGCAATTGCACTAATAAATCAAGTAATAATAAACAAAACATAACTTTTTAAAAACTATTATTATTTGTTAAATCAGATGCAAATCTTCTAATAGTAGATGTAGGAGGTGAAGAATACAATGGAAAGTCTTTAATAATTATTTATGAGATTTCCATAAATTCTAATTGAGCTTTTGTTATATCTGACATTTCAATTTTACTCTAATTGGCTTTCAAATTTGAATATAAGACTCCTGTAAATAAACTTAAAAAAAACATTGATCCAATAAAACAAAATGATATAAAAAAGAAATAAGTGTGAATGTAACTATTAAATGCTGCAGGTCCTATATTAGAATTTTAACTGTTTTCTGATATTTACATAATTTCACCCCATCCATCAAAAGTAGACACTACAAATAGAGTGGGAATAGCTATAGTGATATTATCAAAATTATGTTTATAATTAATCCATGTCCTATTCTGTTCTTAACATTCTTACTTATTAACTTCAAATTACATTTTATCATCACAAAATCCAAACTATTGTTCATATAAAATAATTCCATAAACTCCAAATATAATCCAAACTGAAAGCATAGTAATCAATACATTCCAAATATCTGCTAAGGATCTCCCTAATGCTAATCGTAATGTATTTAACCATGATATTCTATACATCAATTTCATTACTCTAAAATATCCTAAATATAAAAAGAAATTCACTATTGTGATTTGTTCTTTATTTGATAGGAAATGAAAGAAGAATGAAATTATATAAATGACATCAACTATTTACCATGTATATGTGATATAAGCCCCTTTATTCATCCACATTCCTTTAGCAATGCTACCAAAAATAATCTCTAACAGAAATATTATATTTGCTATGAATTATAAGACTTCTGGATAATACGATGAATCACTCTCATAATCATTATAAGTCTTCAAAGCAAATACTACTATTGAATAATATAAAACAGTATCCATAAAGTAATTGAAGAATTTTGATGTGATTATTCTACAACATAATATTCTGAAAATGTTTTCTTTTTCAAATAAATACAATGATTATTTACATTGAATTCCATCATATAAATTAGGATATTTGTTTAATATATCTTTATGAACTTGTCTAATTGATTTCATTAGATTTTAGACTAAATTCTGTTTAGATTTTTTCTATTGATGTTCACCTAAATTAATTTATGAAATCAATGGATTTAAATTTAATTAAAATTCATTTATTTCTTATTATTCTGTTATTTATGAATTTTATTCTTCTTATTTCTCATTATTTTTATCATCATCTTATTCTTAATCTTCTTCCAATTCCTACATTTCCTTGTTTATTGTTCCAAATCCATCTAATAATATAGCCAACACTAAACCATATGTTATATAATTTAGTAAAATAACCATTGAATATGAATAAATTACAGCAAATACATAATTAATATTACCTCCCAAAACATAAACTCCATACCAATCATCATTTGTTAAAATATTAAATATAGTCATAAATGCCTTAAAAATATTATCATATGAATGCAATTATCCTAAAGAATCTGTTTAATCAAAATAACCAGCATACATCTCCATACCAATCATTGCATAAACAAAGATAACTAAAAAAAATAAGAATGTCAAATATATATATTATCGAAATGTTTTCTATGCAATATGTCCAATTGCTACTGCCATCTTATTATATTTTAATACTCGATAAAATAGAAGACATTTTGTCCCTCTTATCAATCTAAGATTTTATTCATTTAAATTTGTCATTACTGAACTCATAGTGAGTTCGATGAAGTTCAAAATTACTATGCAAGATTATAATACATAATCAGGACTTTAAGAAATATCCTTAAAAGAAAAAGCAAAAAATCTTAATACTAATTCTACGCATAAGAATATTGTTGAAACATCCTCTTAATTTGAAATTATTACTGAATCAGCTATTCCTTACAATGATAGGAATGTAAAATTGATTAAAATAACACAATCAAAAAACAATTAGCTTATTTATGATGTAATAAATAGATAGGAGTATTTACGCAATGTTTCTATCTTACCTTAAACTCCAAGCATCCAAATTTAAATATCAATAAAATTTAGTCTTTTTAATACATCTCTGAAATTAAACAATCTAGATTCATTTAATTTTAAAACATCATTTCCAGACCAAGTTTTTTTTGATATTTAATTCTATTGAATATCTTTTCTTCTCAATAATCTATATTAAAATTCATTGGAAGGCTGAGAATTTTTATTTTTCTGAATTTTAGCATTAATTTTTGTAGATACTCCTTCATGATTTAAATAATATCCTTGGATATATACATAATTTTAATCTTATTTTTTAATGGCAAATGGAACCTTATTATCACCTAAGGAAAGTTTTAGTCTATGAGATTGTGCAATACTTTGCTTTTAATTACAAAGATTTTGATCGAAAGAATTATTAGTATCAGCTTATTCATCTTCTGTCTAATTAAGAATAATTCTTTTGACCTTACGAACTGGAAAATGATTGAGTTTTTTATGATCATACACAATTTATTATATCTTTTTTTATTTGATATCAGGATAAACAACTGGTATTTTTATATTTCTCATATTAATAATTTCTTTTTCTAATTCCTTTTTCTCACAATCAGGTAAACTATTTATATAAAAATATGAATTACTTTAGAGTTGGTAAAACATCTCCTTCACTTTCAAATCTCTATTGAATTTATTAATTGACACAAGATTACAATTATGAAAATTAAAAAGATTTTAATCTTTCTAATATTTATAATTCAATTTCATCTTCAGTATATTTTTTAATATGAACATTCTTTTGTTTCTCATTCAATATTTAGAATTTAGGCAATAATATATTTTTTACTGTAAAATTCTATATTTTATAAATTATTCTTTTAAAATAACTTTGCTAAAATATTGTAATAATATTTTATTACTTTTGGATTTTAATCATCATTCTTTTTTTATTTAGCTGATAGTATTCTTGTTTTATTTGAATTTGCTTTTTCATTTATATTCTCTTCTATTTTAATAGTTCTATAAGAGGATTTTAAAGCTTATCTATATCTTTGAATAACAGAAAAAAACTCAATATATCTCAAAAAAGCAACATCAAAAACATTAATAATATCTCTTTCTGGCAATTCTCTATTCTCCTTAATCTTTTATTATATTTATTTCATTTCTTCTTCTTTAGCATTCTCTTCTGTAGCTTCAGCATAATGTATTTTAATAACTGCAATAACCAAATTAAATCCAAAGAAACCACAAACAAAAATAATTAATAAATAATATAACCAAGTCCAAGGATGATATATTCTCATAGTAAAGAACATTACCCAACTCCAATCATCCATTGTAATAGTTCTCAATACTTATCCATAAGAATAAATTACATTATTAAATGATGTTGGTAATTTTGGAGTAAATGATGAAAATTAACACGACATTCCTTCCTCATAACATGAATTTTAATTGCATTATATCCAACCATCAGTTTCATCTCCATTATCATATTGACATCTATAATTAAATAAACCTTGAAACAAAAAAACTCCTATTATTGCAAAAAATAAAGAAAATAATCCTACTATCATTAAAGCTTCTAAAAGAAATCTAAAAGATTATTTCAATGCTTTTAACATCACTCCTAATCCTGAAAAGATATCTCCTAAATAAAGTAGCAATGTTATCACTCTTAAAGGAGATACATCTACTATAAATACATCAGGATAATTTATGTTTAAAACATAAACTACAACCAAAATACAATCAAATATATCTTAGAAATTTTTAAAAAAGGCTCCTTTTGGAATTAATACACCTGAAGCTACTATTCTGATTCCCAACTCTATCAAGAAACAAATCATAATAGCTTTCTCCATATTTTTAGTTGAAAGTGGATCTTAATTAGTTTAAGAGTATATGTATAATGCAACATTAAAAATAATTAGAAAAGACATAATTATTTTATACAGAACACTTCTGATTATTCTTTTGCATAAGATTGGAATAAATAAAGAATAATAAACTATTTATTTTCTTAATTTTAGAAATTTTTTATCATCATTATAAACCTATTAATTACTATTTTAATATTACATTAATTTCATAATGCAATCTTTCGAATCCATGAAGATCCTATAATTTAACATAGTATGGATCTTCAAATGGGTTTCTTTCATATAATTTTTAATATTTTTTCTTCATTTTATCATCTACCTCTTAATCGTCAGTATAATCATCATCTTCACTATCACTTATTTATTATTTGCCTCTACTTTGAGTTGCCTACAATTTAGATTAAAATATCCCTTTTTTGCTTCGATGAGACATTTTTAATGATCTATGTGAGGACATCCCCTCACTTGCTTAGGATTAAAGCATTTGATCTCCTCCACATTATTTTTGAATATTTATATCTTGTTTCATTCCCCATCTATGTTCAAAATCAATAAATTATATTTTTAAAATAGACTTTTCAATTCCATCAGATATATCCAATGGATTTATATAATCTTATTCAAATGACATATTAGGCAAAATTAATTTATCTTACACTTAATAAAAGGATGATTGAGGTTGTTATATTACACCAATATTATCCTTTAAAATTATTGATTAGTCTATTGATTCCTTATTTGATTCTGAATCACTAGAGAATGATGATGATCCTGAAGATAAATCTTTGTTCATTGAAATGTTAACTTTTTGTTTGCTTTTGATAGATGAAACTGAATGTCTGCTTCCTAACATTCTTATTTTACTTTCTTCTGACGAGAATAAATTAGAGTTGCTCATTCTTCTATTCGCTATTTCTCTTGAAATTGAGAAACGTTTCTTAGAACTTCTGGCTACTTCAGGTTGCTTTCTATCATTGATTTTCTACATTTCCTATAAATAATATATTAATCATATTTAAAGTTAAGGAGGAAAACAATAAATTCATATTTAAAAACTAACACCAATTCCAACTTTAAATTTAGAAACACCATCTTCTAAATTTAAATAAAAATTTCATACTTAAACTAAAAAATATACAAGTTAATTTTCAATTGAAATTATAATAATTTATCATTTCATAGCTGAACGATTACTTTTATGGATTGTTGTTCTACTATCTCCTAGTAATTCTGATTCTGTTTCATAAATTATATCAGTTCTATTCATGTTAGTACTTTTTCTACTTTAACTAACTCTAGAATCTTTATTTAACTAGAACTTTTCTGATAAAGAATATAATCTATCAGCCAATGATTAAATATCATTTTTTAATTTACTTTATTCTGGCTATTAAGAACACCCCTATTACGAGTGATTTTCATTAGATTTACTTCTATAATCCTCTTAAATTTAAGTTGGTTTTTAATCTAAATTATTATTATTACTTTAAATACTTTTCTAATCTTAAATTTTTTTGGCAAAATTTTTTGCATCTCTTAAATTTGGTTTTTTAAGTAAAGGAGACTTATTTTCATTATTTGAAAGTGTAGATAATCGATTAGATGTGGCTTTGAAATAACTTTATTACTATTTTTTTGGTTGTAATTATTTAACATCCTTTTTTGGAGTTTTCTTATAACTTTTAGGTAAAGAGTCTTCTCTATTTTTATTATATTAATTACTCTTCAATTCTACGAAAATCTTAACTAGCACTACTTCTATCAGATCTTAAAGTTTCTGTTGGTTAAGTAAATAGTGGCATTGCATCTATATTCAATTATTAAAATGAATTTCTTCTTTATTTTTCTATCTAAATATATTTAATAATTTAATTACTTTAATTTCTTATAAACATTATTATATCTAATGTTCTAAATTTTAAAGTTCATCTAAACTAAATTTTTTGAAATTTGGTTATCCTTCATAACATGAAAGTCTATTTAAAGCATTTTAAGATAATTTTTCATATTTCTCATTTTGTAGTTTTAATTCTTTAATTTATTATTCCATTTCTTTATGTGAATTGAAATATGTTAAAATCTATTCATTAGATTTCTATAATCTTTTATGAAGTTCTGTACAATTTTTTTCTAAAAGTACATTCTTTTCCATTTCTTATTGAAGTTATGAATTTAGCTCTTAAGTTTTCTCCAATAGAGATACATCAGTTTCATTAAATTAGCTAACTGATGGTTTTGAAACTAATTATACTTCTGATTATTTAAAATTTGTTAAAATTTCTGAACAATTTGATGTTTACAATTACTATTTTAATGAATCAATAATTTTTTATTAATCTGAAATAATCTTTTCATTTTATTTATTTTTTTAGATTAATTAATTTAATTTTTATTAATTATTAGAATAGGAAGCATCAAAATTGACATTTTATTCAATTTTAGATTCAACTAATTTTGCACTTGTACCAAATCTAAGAGTTGATTATGTTTGATCATATTAGCTCAATCCAGGATTAATACTCAATAAAATTAAGGTTTTGAAGTTTCCTGTAAGAGAAGATCTAAAGAATATTATAATTTTAATTACTTTAATAATTTAGTTAAAGTTGAATTACGATAAGGGATATGTTAAGGTGGAACTTTTTATGTTTTTAATGCAATAACTCTTGTTAAAAAGAATAAACTCTTATTAATTGCAGAACTTTCTTTATTTCTATCTTTCCTATTAGAATTTCTAGTAATATCATCAGAAATGGGACTTGATGTAATTTTTTCACTTCCAGCTAAATCAATAAAGTTGATGCATGCTTCAGTTGAAAAAGTAAAGTTTTCTTCTTCTTCAGATTCATTTGAGTAAGCACTTATAAGTACTTTGAAAATTGTGTGACTTCTACTACTTTGATGATTCAATATAGTTTCTGCATAATGTCTATTTTTTTCTCCCTTTGAAATACAAGTTATCACATCTTCAATAGAAGTAACATTGAATTCTTTGATATTTTTAATAACAAATTCCTAATTTAATTAGAATATAATTTACCTTACGATAATCAGTTCCAAAAATGAGAGGTTCAGATAACTCATTTTCTTCACGTAATAGATCATAAATAAACTCATTGTAGATTTCATAATAACTACATTTAATTTCAAACTATCTTTTTTCATCCTAATGATATATAAGTAGTTTATACAATATTAATCTGTTTAAAAAGTTCCATCATTGAATAGATCAAAATTCCAACATCGTTGTATTGATTATTTGCAAAACTATCTTTGATTAATTACTAAATGTTGCTATTATTATTTTGTAGCATCTCCTAATTTCTCTTACCTAACATTGTAAATGTTTTGCCTGACCCTGTTTATCCATACATAATGACAGTCCCATTGATGCCATCTAAAGATTGCATAATTACTTATTTAACAGAGGTTGAAAACAAGTAATAATTGTCAGCTTGTTATCCATAACAATGATTGAATTCATAAATCAAACTATTGACTACTTTTTTTTAAGCAATCAATTCCTTTAAGCAAATTTTATTAAGTTAAATTTTGGATTCATTTGCATCCCAAGCTATTATTTCATTGTCATTAATTTCTTTTTGATTAAGTGGTCTTATTCTTAAACATACACTAATTTTTTCCATACTAACAGATAATTATAAATATATTATTATCAAAATGTTATAATTTTAACTCCAATATTAGGAAACCATATTTTGTTGTAATTATTTTTGATAACAAACAATCATAACTATTGTAAATTAATTTAATAAATTTTATTCTTTGTCTATGCAACTGAAATCACGTCTTCCTCCTTAATTCTATGTGACTCCAAAATATGATGAACATTTAAATACACAAATATCTTAAAATGATGTTATAAAAACACATAGAAGAAATTATAGCTACTAATCAGAGACTCAATTTTCAATACTTAAATTCCAGTTTTGTCAGTTAATTGGATAGGGATAATTTAGTAAAGTTATGTTAGTCAAGTATCATTCAATTAAATTTAGAAATTCTGGAAAATCTTATGCTCTTAAACTATTAGACAAAGTTTAAATCCAAAAATGTAATCTTAATTAATAAGTCTAAAGAGAAATTGATAATCAATCTAAACTCAAACATGAAAATATTGTTCAATTATTTACACATTTTTAAGATAATCAAAAGATCTATTTAGTTACTGAATATTGTGAAAAAGGTAGTTTGTATTAAAAACAATTCACAAAATCTAAAATTAAAGACATTATTAAATAGATTATTACTGCTATTTAATATATCCATCAAATGGGTATTATGCATAGAGACATTAAACCTGAAAATATATATCTAACATAAGATGATATAGTAAAAATTGGAGATTTTGGTTGTTCAATTTAAAAAGGATAAAGAAGAAAGACTTTTTGTGGAACTCCTGAATATATGTCTCCTGAAATAATACTCAGTTCAAGTAATATGATCTAATATGGTGGATATGATGAGAAAGTTGATATATGGGCTATAGGTATATTACTTTTTGAACTATGTAATAATACCGTTCCATTTAGAGATATTAATAGAGATAAATAATAAGATAGAATATGTAGAGAAGAGATTGTGTTTAAAAAAGATGAAGATCCTTTATATGTGGATTTTGTATAAAGATGTCTTTATAAAGATCCAAATTAGAGAGCAAATCTAGAATAACTCCGTTAGCATCCTTACTTACAATTTTGATCTTTATTTAATAATATTTAATTTAATACCTCATGGATTCAAGCACATACAAATAAAAAGAGTCTATCTCTAAGTTGTCTAACTTCGATAATAGTGATAATCAATATAATAAAGTAGATATATGAAATATTTAGAGAATCTGGTCATGCTCACCACTTAAGTTGAGAGACTTACATTAGCGTTGAAAAAGAAAACTAATGAAGTAGAGAGTCTGTAAAATTAAATTGATACTTAAAAATCAACTCAATATCCATAAGAGATGGAAGAATTGATTACAGTACTAATATTTTAAATTTTAGACAGTTGAAGAATAAACTAAAGAAATTGAAAAATGGGCATAAAAATATTAGACTTTACAATAATAATATCAGCAATTATAATAATAAACATAACAATTACAATAGAAAAATTAGGAACTAGAATAAGTAGTTTAATTACTTAAATACCCATCTTAATAAGAAATTAAATCAACTGAAAGTTAAATTCAATTTTATTTTATTTAGGTCTTTAATCTAAGAGATTTTATTAATCTGAAATTAGTAGAAAAGAAAATAAGTGTGAAGATGATGAAAATAAGTTCATTTCTTAATCAAAACTATTATCTAAATAAGATGAGATCAATTAATTAAAATTATAATTAGGATAATTAAAATAAGAACTTTTGGAAGAGAAGTAAATACATAGAGAATTACTTGAAGCTGAAGAAGCTAGGGTTAGAGATTAAGAGAGAAAGAACTTAAATTAATATAAATTAGAAACTAAAGAACAATTATTATTATACAAAAATTAAATTCAGGCATTATAAGATATGTTAGATAATAAACAATCAGTTTAAAAATAAGATAATTTTGAAGAAAAGAATAGAGAACTTAATTTATAAATTTTAGATAAGAATAAGAAAATAGAATTATTGGAAAACTTAATTACATAAAAGGATTCATAAATCAATTTATTATAATAACAATTAGAGAAATATTAAAAAGAATAAGTCTAATTAATCAAATAATAATAATCATAAAAATAACTTACACTTCCTTCATCATCATCTACATATAGAATAGTTTCAACTTAAAATTCTTCACTTGATAATAATTATACTTCCATTATAAACCTTAATAAGACTAACTCAATTTAAGATTAAATTAATTAAACTATGGCTTAAATTAATAAATCTATTCAATAGGTTGATTAAATGAAATAAACTAATAGTATCAATCAAAAAATGTTTTAGGATTAATTTAATAATAATAATGTTCAAAGTTCTTTGAGAATTTCACAAACACCATAAATGCAATAAAATTTAAGCATACAAGATAAAATTAAAGCTTTAACCTCATTAACACAATAGTAAAATAGTTAAAATTATAATAAATATATATGAAATCAATAATATAACAATTATATATTAAATTAAAACTAATTAATTACTTTTCTATCAATATTCTAATAAACTAAATATTACAATTTAAAATAATCATTTCTCCTAAATATCAAAATTAATTATCAAAATATCCAAAGTAAAATTAGATTAAAAAGAATTATAATCTAATAAAAAATACATTGTGTATCAATTATCATAACTATTTAAATAAGATGTAAGATTAAGAAAATAAATTAAATATTTTGATTAATAAATATCTTGATGTTGAAGTACCTATTTTGAATATTGTTAGCATTGCTTTATTATTATTAGATAAATTTAATAATTTGAGTGTTTGATTTGAATTATAATTAATATATAAATTATATTTATTTTTTTATTGTTAATTTCTCAATAAACTCTAATTAAAATAAAAAAGAAGTTTTATCAACCGCATAATCTGTTGAATATATGATCTAATGTTCATTTTCTTTGAAAAATCTATCTAATATACAAAAAATTTGTTAAATATTCACAATATTAAAGTTCAGCATATTCCGTTCTTAGTCATAACTGAACTCATCTAATAATATTGATTATATTTCATACATTAACAGAAGTTTATTCGGTTATTATTTTATATGATTCTTCCATAAGAAATTTCTTTTGACTTTTTCGCTGATAACTAGTAGTTTTATTAACATTTGACATTACATAAGGGACAAGCAAAGAAAGATTGAATTAATAATTAATTAAATTAGATGGATAGTATTAACACTTGCTTATTCTTATTGAATGGAAAAAGTGATAAAGAAAGTGAATGTACTAAAGATGAGCTTAATGATTCTATAGATTTGTATATAGACTCAAAGATAAGTGAAATGGAAAGACGAGTTGTGAAGTATTTACATGACAAAGGAATATAAACAAAAACTGATCCTGAATTAAAGTAATAACAATATTGGAATCAAAGAAGGATTGAAAGTAACAAACAATTAGAATAATTTTGGAGTCAACCAAAGTTATCATTGAATTCTTCTGTTAGTAGATTATTAAGTGGGAAAGAATCTTCATTTAGCAAATATTTTCATAAGAGTGGAAACTCTCTTTAAACATTCCTAACTTCCTGACTTTAAAAACAAAGAAGTTGAGTTAATTAAATGTTATTATAGTTTATATACATATGATAATTTAGTTAAAATTTTAAATTTTAAACATCTAAATATATACATATATACAAGTAATTTAATTGAAAAAGATAGTAAATAAATAATTTTTTATAATTAATATAAGTATAAAGATATTTAATTTATATGATGATGACTCTGATAATGAGATAAATTTGTTGTTATATAGGAATATAATTTCTTAAGATTTGGTAAAATTATATTTCTTGATTTATTAATATTTTAATATAATATGATAGAAGTAGTATAAAATATATATATATAATAATAATATAAATATTGAAAAAAATACAATTCAACGATTAATACAACCAAGGGAAATTAGTATACGTTTAAAGAAAGTTTGTTAGGGTTGCTCAGACACTTGTTAAGTGTGTTGGAATACAAAATGTTGGGATCTCTATTTCATATCTTCCCATTCTTTATTAGTAGTTTTGCGTTCAGACATCACAGTTTATGAAGTTTATAAAGGAGATTGATTTTATTCATCAATTAATAATGAGACACTTCGATAAGTTAAGTTTTCATTGAGAGGTTAATGTTATTTAATTTTAGATTACATCCAACGATGATTAAGGATACCTTATATAGAAGGTCTATTGAAAGGGTTTTGTTAGAGAATCATAGCTATAAGAGATTTGCAATCTTCTGTAACATATTCATCGTATTTAAGAGGTAATCCAGATAGAATAGCTGAGCATTTTTCTTAGTCATTTCTTCCTGTAAATGGAGGCTTTCCTTATACCATTTCATAGAGTAAAACACCCAAACACCATATATCCAGTTTATAATTAGTACTCTGAGATTTAATCATTTCAGGTGCCATATATTCGATTGTGCCACAAAACGCTTTTTTCAAATTTCCCATTTCAGTTGACCAACCAAAATCACAAATTTTTATATTTCCTTTATTATCAAGCAAGAGATTTTCTGGCTACACAATAGAACTTAAAAATAACCTTTATGTCTCTATGTATAATTTTTTATTTATGTAGATAATCGATTCCAAGACAAGTTTAATAAAGATAATGAGAAGCTTCATCTTCAGAGAGATGACGCTGTTTCTTAATTTATTTAAATAAAGAACCACCTTCTGCATATTCCAGTATCAAGTATACATTAGTCTAAGAATATAAATTAGTCTTATACCTTATCTTCAAAATAACTATCTAATTTAATTATGTTTGGATGGTTTAATTTACGTTAAATTTTGATTTCCCTCTTTAAATTGTCAACTGTGCAGTATTTAAACAATTCTGCCTTTTTCATCTGTATACTATAACAAAAATTATCTATACAGCCTTCATTGCCAATAATTTGCCTGTTGATATCTCTTTAACTAGAGTGACCCAACCAAATGAACCTTATCCCAATGTCTATTACATTGCTTAAAAGTCACTAAAATCTCTTAAACATTTGTACCTTGATGATTTCTTTCGAATTGTACTGGAAGATGCTTTACTACTAGATGCTGGTCTATTTGAACTAATTTTAATTTTATGGACTTACAAATTAGTTTCATGCTTATTGGCTGATACATTCAATTTCAAACTTTTACAATCACAAGTAGTCTCTGAATAAGTTTTATTGGAGTTCATTAATATAATAAATATAATATCAAAATTGAATTTTGATCTAAAAGCCAAAGTAACACAACATGATCTAGGCTACTATTAATTAGATAAATAAGAATTCCCACAATTGTTCATGCAAAAAATCATAAACACTATAGGCCATAAACATTCCTCCAAGATGACGACACACTTATGATAATCCTAAAATCATCGTTCGGTAATCCTTTGATTATCGACCAAGTTACTGAATGGATATCGGTGGTTATATTGTAATGGAATACTCCTTGCATCAAACTAGCTATCAATAACATTAAATCTGACTACATATAGATGTAACTCATCTTCAACATTTAACTAATTATACAAATTGATTCTAAAATAAAAATTAATTTACATGAAATTTGATAAACTTATTTTTAAGTATATAATCCAATCATAAATTAATAGAAAGGTTTACTAAAAGCACCAAAAATGGATAGTAACATAATATCAATATATTTATTGCTGTTATCAGAGTTAAAATATTTAATATATGTCAAATTACTCTTATTAATTACATAATTTACCTATAAAATAAAAACCCTTATAGTGTTTAACAAATAAAGTATATATAAATTTATTCATTAATTTTTGATAATTTTGTGAATAATTTTCTCATGGTTGGTCTATGTACTTTTATTTAAAATGTTTGAATAATTGAAATCTATTCATTAGAATTCTTACTAATTAATTAATTAATCAATATTACTATTCTTCATAATTTAATACTGAATTATTTTCAGCACACTTTTCAATATATTTGATATAAATATCAAATTCATTATCTAAACATTCCTCCATTAAAGGAGGAAGACGAGATGATTATTTCAAGAATATTATTAATAAACAAAATTCAGCAACACAAATTAAGCGAAAAAGAGAATAATCAAATCTCTTACAAACTATACCAATGAGACAAAAAACTATAGTTATCAAATATCCAACATTAACAGATATTTTTATGAGTTGAAATCTTATCATTTGAAGTACCTGATTCATGTATCCATTAATAATAGATTTAATAATAAAAGTAATTAAAACAATGATATCTTATTACATCTCCATAAATAATATGCAAATCAAAATGATTTAAAATATTGAACAATAAAATTAACAGTGTTGCACATATTTATTTAAAGCCACCAATTAACCTAATGTATAACATCCAAAATATATTAAAAGTATTAATGGATTATCATATACAAACATAGCTATACAACTATCAAATATATGAATTATGTGTCCAAAACCTATTTTTATTTTTATCATTTATACATATAGTAAAGAATAATTTACGTTAGAAATCAGTTTGTCTAACATTATTAATTTGATCTTGTAAATTTGATAGATGAATTGAAGCTGTTAATTTATCTTCCAATTCAATTATCATTTTAATTTTAATATAATTTCTTATAATAAATATAATCTGGTGATAGTAAATATCAATATTTAAAAATTCATATGTAAATTATCAAATTACTTAATTATTATCAGATTTTGATGAAAATAACCTACTAATTATCTTTTTTTAAGGTGTTCTTTCTAAGAAATTTTTTGGTTTTCCAGAACCTCCTGTTGATTAAAATGTAAATTATTATTTAGTACTTGATTAAGGTGATTATAATGAAGGTAATTAATGATTTTGATCATTCTATTCAATATTTTTAAATTTCTAACCAAATTTTAATTATAATGGTTATTCTTAATTATCTCTAAGATGTTAAGCAGTTCTTGATTTTCTTGAAATATCCTCATCAGGTAAATTAAAATTAATAAATTCATTAACAGGAGTAATCGTTTATTTTGAAGAATTAGTTCTTAAAGCAGTTTCTTATTATGATTATTATCCAATAGATCCATATCCTATAAATTGATTAGTGTTAATTTTTTAAATGGGAGGCTTAATTCGTGGAAGAAAGGCTGTTGAATTAGATTTTTACATCTATTCACTATTGAAATGAGATTATCTACTATTTAATAGAGCTTTTTAATAAGAAGGATATTCTGGTTTAATATGTTCTTCAGGTGTTTTTGTAGAATTGTATTTAGAAATTGGTTGTAGGTCTGCCATACTGATGTTGAATTCCTTTTAAGTAGTTTTGGGAGTCTAAAAAAATCTGCCATTTGAACTTTTTTGGATGTTTGGGGCAACAGAATTATTTTGAGTAATGATTAATTACTCAGTATTAGATTTTGGTTGAGGTGGAGAGAAAGGTTTTACTGATGGAACTTTCATCAATTTGGGTGGAGAGCTAGTTAGGTAGCACTTCATACCCATATTTATGCATAACAGGGGTTATGTATTGATTCTATACAAATTACTTTGCGGATTTAGCAATACTTTCTTGTTAAGATGGTTATGAGGATTGTTTTTGATTAACTTATTGATTTAACACATTCTTTTTTCCATCAGAATTAATTTTGAATGCTTGATCTTTTGTATTTTTGAAAGGGACTCTTTATAATTGCTTTTATTATAATTTTATAGTTTAGCCTAACGAACCCAATTATGGATTGAAGAATTGAGCTGTTTACTTCATTTCTTAATGCAAACGATTATGATCAAATGAAGATGAATCTTGGTGATTAATCATTTGCTTTAAATAATAATTAATATATCAATAACTATTAACATCATCGAAACTTGAATACTTAATGATAAGTTTCAATTTTATTATTAAAAATCTATATGTTTTTCTTGAATATTAGTTTAATTTTTAATCTATTAAATTAAAATTGATATATATATATATAAACCACACAAACAATAATCAATCATTATCCAAATTTAAGTATAAAATATTGAAATTGTAATATCAATTAATTCAAGATTTCTTATATTGATTATATGTTCAATTAAGGGGTTGTTAATTTAATCTATAATTATGTTAATTAAGCAGCCATCCCTTTAATAAATTAATCCATTCCTGTTCCAGGTTATATTTAAACTTATTAATTTTAAGTTAACACTTATAAATCATTTCTTAATTTAACAATATGTTCTTCTATCTTTTATAATCTATCCTCAGATTAAATATTTTATTAAGGTGGTTATTATTACTAAAATTCTGCTAATTTTAATCCTTTCTTAGCATCCTCATATTATTTTACCATAGATTCAGTTTATTATATCAATTAATCTAATTTTTATAATGCCTCTTATCCTGGTCTATTATTTTCAGCCAATTAGGATATATTTTTACTTAAAATTTATAGTTGTTGAGTAGAATTGTCAATGAATGCATTAAAATTAGCCAATTTAGTTTAGTCTATGAATTACATATCATTAAAATATTAAATAACTTTATCAAATATTAAAACTACTCCTTAAGACATTTTAGCTAATTCAACTTAATAAAGTTAACCTATTTATTCTTTTAAATAATCATTAGTTGTATTTTAGATTAATTATGTACACTATATATATATATATATAATATTTACTTCAGGTTAAGATATTTATTGATTAGCTAACAACTTCAAATGATTACCTATTCTTTCATCGATTAATTACTCAAAATATGCTTAATTAAAATTATCCATTAAAAAGTTTTCACAAGTTTATTAATATAATTCTAAATTTTAAGTAACAACATTTTCCATTTAAATTTCTAATTAACATAAATCTTATTTAAATTGTTATTCTAATTTAAGTAATGCTTATTAATCATTTTAACCAAACTTATCTAAATCTTTTTTTACTTAAATTTCAATTAAATCTTTAATGTCAAAAATAAATGTAATATCTTCAATTAAATCTTTTTTAACATCATTACTTATTATTTAGAATTATTATTATTGTTAACATTATTAAACTTTAGGAATCAGTTCATTTTCTATTATTTCATTTGCTTTAATAACTGGATCAATTTAATTAATATTATTCTATATATTGTTATTATTTTCCCATCGTTATTATTTTTATAATTATTATACATCTTCTTCTTTAATATAAGGAGGCGGTATTAATTGAGATTATTGAATAATACTGGAACCTTGTTTCTTTGAAGTATTTTAATCATATAATTAAAGTAAATTCTCAGGTAAAACTGCACCAAGAACAAGATCACTATAAAACCAACATAATTCAATTTTATCTTTCTTTTCAGATTATAATCCAAAAATATAAGGTAATTCATGATCTGTAAATTCTAATTCTTAATTTTAGAAATCTTTAAATCCTTATTAAAATTCTAAATATTCTTTTTCAGATTCACATTTATTTCCACCATGTAAGAATTTTGTTGTTTATTCAGGTGGTATTATAAATTATATAAAGAATGAAGAAGTTGATCTTTCCTTAACAAATTTTTTTATATGTTTAATTTTGCTCTATTCTTTTTTCAATATCTAAATTGTATGATAATTAATATAATTACTTAAGATTGATTCAATTGAGCTATATAAATTTGTACAGCCATTTCTTATGTTTGATATAAAATGAAAAGAAAGTTTTATGTCGAATCTATTTAAAAATCAATTAATTCTACTTCTTATTTACTTTAAATAGATTTTAATATAAATTACCTTTCACTAAATTTAAATTTTACAGATTCATTTGGCAATAGACTTGAAGTATGTAAATCTTCTTTTTCGAAAGTCCAAAAAATAATTCTTTTTTAAATTGTGATTGTAAATAAAGAAATTTAATTATTATGTTCAAATAATTAAAATTTTAAAGGTTCTGATTCTGTATATTTAAGATTATGTTCATTAATAATTTATAATGTTTTCGAATTGAGAACTTATAATTTGGAATCTTAAGTAAGAACAAATATATATTTTAAACATCTAGAAATAATTACTTATTTTGCTATTTGTTTTAGTTATGATTTGATAATTTTATTGTCTAATTAAATTAGATATATTTATGTATTATCAATTAGAATTGCTCCTATTTATTATGAAGAATATAATTTAGGTAATTATAATCCTTCTATTTTGAGCTCAATTGTCAAAGAAAATTGATATTGACAATCAATTTTGAAAAATTAAATTACCTCATTATTTTGGATTATTATTAAATAATATGAATGTTCAAAATAAGCAAGAACAAAATCTGATATATCATTATCTGTATTTAGATAATATTTTTCATAGCTATCAATACATGAAACTAAGTAAAGACACTTAGAAGATTTTTTGCATACAAATAGATAATCTAAACTCTTAATTTATAATGCATGATAATTTTCAACATCAGATACATCAACAGTCTCTTAATCTATTATTGTATTTTAATTTGATGCACAAGTGTACCTATCATTTAAATTAGAATTTTACTTGTAATGATTGATACTTGAAGACATATAAGTGTGTATAAATAATTAATATTTAATATATTTATCAATTAAATTAAATAACTTTGAATATATTATTTTATTTTCATAATTCATTTGTAGATCAAATTTATATAATATTAAATATAGTTTTTATATCACATATATTGTAGTAATCAGATTAAAAATTTCTCTAATACTTAACTCTAAATCAATAACATTTCCATTATTTCAAATTAATTCTTTTATGCAGATATTAAATAATCTTAAGAACAGTTTTTTTTATTGACACTATATTATTGCATATTAGACTTAGGTATTCCATATAAGTTCCCATTTTAATTAGAACATTAACTTTAAGACAATGATTCTGATGCAATATTAAATTACAAATTTTCTGAAAAATTAGCTATAGCATGTAATTTAGCATTTAGAGTATTTTCAGAATAAAATAACTCCTTTTATAATTAAGTTAAATCATTAGCAATAGATTCAGGTTTCAAATTGACAATTCTATCGACTAGACTTTTATATTATTTCCCAAAATATAAAGCATCACCTAATAAATGATTCTATTATTAATAATTTTGATTACAATGTTAATTTAGTTTTCTTTTAATTCATTTCTCAAATGACTAATTTCTTTATCTTTTATTTATTAAATTTAATTGCATTATGCTTAATAATAAGCAAATGTTTCCTATTTGTAATTCTCTAATTGTGATTGACACATTTCTTAAGTATTCTTATATAATATGTATATTATACTTATAATTGCTATAAACTTTATTTCAATTAAATATTTTCATTTTCATATTCATGAAATAAAGTATTATATTATTCTTTTTCTTCTTAATGAATTAGATCTTTAGATTTGAATTCTTCAATAGATTATAATAATTTTTCAATCTAAATAATAATAAATCTATTAATTTTACTTCTTATTATTTTAATTCTAATTCTTATTTTATTGATGTAATTTAATAATTGGAATCTTAGATTTATACTTATTATTATTTATTTATATTCTATAAAGTAGAAATTTATTCATTTAATTTATTTATAAGTTACTTTTTCTATTCTAATTCATCTATTTAAAACTTTATTATTTTTTAAGAACCAGATACATTATTTTATTATTTCTAATGACTTGATTTAAATTTATCACTACTAATATTAGATTCCTTATTGCTCTTATTATTTGAAATAGGAGTTTTACTATTCTCAAAGTTACAGCTACTAAACCGTTGATGATGTGATTTATTAATTGACTTTTATGTACTATTAGATTCAGGCTTAAATTTATTCTGAATTTGAGTTAATTGTTTATTTAACTTATCTATTTATGAACCTCCAAATGATTTTTATTTTATTTCTTCTATTATTTCATACACAATACTAACGATATCTTTTACCATTGATTAGAATTAAGATGTTTAATCATTACTAATTTCTTATTTCTCAATAGTAGGTCTTTAATTTAGTTCTTGTATTAAAAGAAAGATCATATACTTTAGTAATATCAGATCTGTACTTCTATAAAAGTCATAACACGTTTGTGCATTATCTAAACAGAAAAGCTTCATTTTTGCAATTATTGCTGCACATGTGTTATGATCATTCTCTTTAGCATATTTTAATAGTTTCACCTTCTTCTCTATTTACATTAAGACAGGTAAAGTTGATTAGGAAATGGTTGAAATTTAAGAATATTTCTATAGATGAATGTCAAACACATTCTCATTTTAAGTAAAAGAAGAGCATGAAGCTTTTTCAGTAGGCTTAATCAATCTTTCTGTCCATTACTCAACATCATGTTTCTTAACTTACAAGTAAGGAATAGGAGATGATTTCTCAAGTAATTAGTTAATTTCTCTACATGCAAAAGGTCTAGGTTAAAGAGGTGAGACAGAGTGTTCACTTGTTTTTTTATTGCCTGAGTATAGATTTTAGAGTTTCTAAAGTAGCTGACTGCTTGATGATGAGTTCATTTATAATTAACAGATATTTATACTAGGTTTAGTAAACCTATAAAATATAATAAAAACAAAACAATGCTTTTTTAAGACTGATTAAACTTATGTAAACAATTCATTTAGCATAATAATAAATATTCATCTTTTGAATACAATTCAAACAGTGAATATTTATATATTTTACTGAGAAACATCAGTAATATTATTTAAAACATTTCTTTCAATCTTAAATGCTTTAACAAATTATCATATATTAATATTCACATTAATCAACTCAATAACAATCAGAATTCTTACATATTATCAATTATCTAAGAATTTAAATAATATATTGTTTAAAAGTAAATATACAATTTATATCCAATCATTTTCAAATACCCAATCATTTTGATCTTTGATATACCCATCCACCAACTCCTATTGTAATTAAAATTAAACTAATAATCTCAAAATTTAGTCTATTTTTATCATAATAAATATTTTTAGTATTTTAAGAGATAGATGGATTAGTTTGATTTTTCTCTTTAGTATCAAAACAATAAATTGAGGCTTCTTTTTTATCTTCTTATATTTAATCGTAAGAATAGACTGTTTGCAATTCTTCTTTTAAAGTTACAATTCCTAAATCTTAAAAACTTGCATTAGAAGATATTGATGCTAATGATTTTTAATTTTATGATTTAATCTATTATTCACTTAAATATTCCATCTTCTTTTCTGAATTTTTACTGCTATCAATTATAACTGATTTAAAATGCCAAGGCTTTTTAGGAGATATTTATATTAAATCCTAAAGATATTCATTATCATTTGATTGATTATCCTTTATTTCATCAATTTCTGATTTTTCTGTATATTATGAAAGTTTTCTTTATTTAATTTCACCAAGATTATGACTAGTCTTAAATCTAAATCTTTATGGAATTAATATTTATTCTGTTTATTTTTATAATTAATCTTAAGAATTATCTAGAAAATTCATTTGATTTTATTATTATTTAATGTTTAGAATAGTTTAGATAATTTCTAAGATATCATCTTCAGAGGATATATTTGATTCAGTTTTATTTTATATTTACATTTACAAATTAATTAGTAACTCAAATTAAATTAATAAATAATATACTTGTATCATCAATATCGATAGGATTTTTATCAATATTAGTGTATTTTTAATTTATTGTTCTTTTGTGATTTAACTAAAATAGTTCTGTCACTGTTTTCAATTATTTAATCAATCTTTAATTGAGATTGATACTATTATCTTTCAATTCATCATAAAATTTGAGATTAGTTTAAATTTAATCTTAAACCTTATTAATTTAATATTTTATTTTACAAATTTATAACGATTTTTTAATTATTGTTTTTATTAAGTTAGAGAAGTCTAAATTTTATAAAATTCTTCATTCTCTTCTTTTAATAATAAATATCTCTCTCTACATATTCTTATTCCTTCTTTAAGATCACAAATTTTTTATGTTATTGAAGGATAAGTTTTAATTTAATTTATCGATATTTCAATCTAATGTAAATGAGATTCTTTAATATCAAGATCAAAATGAAGTTTTTCTCTTTTATTTTTGATATTCTTTATTACTTAATATTATCTCTCTATATTATTTTAATAGTTGTTTAGATCTTATGTGATTTAGAATATTTTTGAATTGAGTTAAACTATTCTAATTTCTTTTCTCTAGTACGTACTTTCATAAGTTTAGATAAACAATTCAAAAAGTTTAGTCATTTATGAATTGCTAATGTTCATTCCATGCTTTTGAAGATATTGATAAAGTATTTGAAATATATGATGGTTTTATGTCAAACAGATTTCATTCATAGATTTTATTTTATTTACAAATATATAAAACACCGTTAATAACATTAATACTCAATTTAGTTTCATTCTATGGTTTATGTTTCCTATATTACTTGTTCTGGTTATTTCTCCTCTTCTTGTTCTTTTCTTTATTCAACTAAACTATTTTGATATGTTTCAATTGTTTTTTAATATTATGACTTAACAATTGTAATGATATTCAATTATTATAAAGCTGTAAATAAGAGTTTTTTAAATTCTTCAAACTTTTAAGCTTCAATAAATGTTTTGAGTGATATTAATTATTCTTTTAAGTATTTGATTAATTCTTTATTGTTATAATTCTCTCTTAAAACATTAAGTCTAGACTTTAGTTCTTCAAATGAAGTTGTATAAAGACTTGAGATTGGTTAGACAACAATTACTTTATATGTGAATAAAGTGGCATTCAAATGTTATTTAAAATTGAGTGTAACAAAGACCTTTAAGTTTTGAAGTTTTTAACCACCAACTGTTTGAATCTCATTCTTCAATAATGTAAAGAGTCCTTGAGTTAATTCTGTAAGATTATGAGCTAATTGAACAGTTCTTTGATTATAGGTTTATTCTGAACTTTTGGCCTTAGCTTCTTTCAAAATAGCCTTCTATAATTTGGCTATATTGCCTTCAATAGAAGTAAAGACTTTATTAGCTACATTGTCGCAAGTATGTAACACAAATTAAGTAGCGCCATTGTTCTTGGCCAAATCAACTCCTTAATCAAGAGCCTTCTTTGAGTTCTCTCTTATTTAATCAGTAAGTTCTTTTCCTTTCTACTTGAGTTTCTATCCTTGTTCTGCTATGTTGAATGTTTTTTCATATGATTGAACTATCTGGAAACTTCTATTTATGTTATCATCTACAGTGTCTGTCACTTTTTAAACATAGGGTTGAGTTACTGTGTCTGCATAGATAATGATGTTTTCCACAAATTTAGGTGCTCTATTAATTATAAGCTTAAAGTTTACTTTAATGGAAGTTTTGAATAATTTGTGGTGATTAAGGACTTGGTTTTTGATAAGATGTTTCCAATGAATTTCTATTATTCTGACATGTAATTTAAATTAATGATTAAGTGATCAAGGAACGAAGAGCAACTTAAGAACTCATTTCATTATGATGTAAAATCAGTGTTTAATACGCATTTGACTTTAAATAATTTCTGATTTACAGTTTGCAATGCAAAATAATTAATTTTAATGACGGTATAATTAATGGAAAACCTTATATTAATAATTACGACATTTTTGTGCTCTTGCACATCAAATCCAACGTCTTATCATTCTAATATAAAATTGATATCTTTGAAAATATAATATTTAGATCTTTTCAATATAGAATTACAATACTTTGAATTCTATTGAATTTAAATATTAAGACATGATAAAAATGAATCTTTGTTATTTTCATTGATATTATTGAAAATATAAACAAATAATATTCATAATCATCAATATGATTTCAAATGATTTTCAGATATAACATTTTTCCATTAAAAATAAAAAATAAAAAATATTTTCTATCCTCTAGAACAAGGATATGTATATCAATTAAATCATCAATTGTACTTTCAACATATACTCTTATATAATTAATATATATTTTTAAAGAACTTCAAATCATTCATTCGATGGTTATTCTTTACATCATATATACTAACTAAGCATTAAATCTAATTAGAATACACATACATGTGCTACTTTATGTATATAAACAAATAAAATCACTTTCCTTTTTCATACCTTAAAAATATTCTGAACTTCCAAAACTTAAACTATTATTATTAATAAATTATCCTTACTAATTAACAACCTACTCTTTTTTCGTTATTTTGGGATCATTACAATCAAATCTATATTTATAACCTTGTGATTTTATCTTATTAATACATGTCATTAGATTAAATTATAACTAAACAATTATAAATATATTTCTAACTCTACTTATACAATTTTTATATGATTCAAATACAATTATAATTAAATAATTTAAGAAAGGTTTATCAATATATTTTATGACTTATAGTGAATATTATGATATTAATAAAAGTAATTGGATGTTATGAGTTGTTTAATTAATAAATTACTTAATTGATTTAATATATAAATTATTTTCTCAAATTAAAATTGGTAATAGAAAATAGATATTAATATCGATTGATGAAAATTTGATAAATCTTTTTTTTCTGTTTTACATTAATTATATGAATAAAGAACTTTTCTTATAAATTTTAAATGAAATATAGAACTTAAATTAATTTACAATATAATACGCATTATTGAATTCACTACATCATTAAATATAAATTCATAAAATTAATTTTACACTGATATAGATTAAATGTGACTTTTTAATGGTTTTATTAAGAATTTTCTTAAAAATAATGGCAATCTTGTCATTCAATTTTGAACTATAGAACATTTAAGTATATCTCATAACATAAAGTTTAACAGTAAAATTTATGCTTTGAATATGATATAATTTAGAATTTTACATATATTTCTTTAATATATTTAAAGAATACATTATTCACTTTGAATAGATTAAATGAGTACATTAGCATAGTTAATGGAAGTTAAAAGTGAAAAATTGCTCAAGACTTAAGGAGATTCAGATGGAGTTATTCCTGATTCTGATCAGGAAGAAAAATTGAATAGCCCATACAATAAAGAGACACCAAAATCAACAATAAGGCCTAAAAAACGCTTGAGATTTAGTGGAATGAATTAAGTTTGCTATTACTAATAAGGATCAAAAAGAGATATGTCACCTTCTCAAACAAGATAAACTTTGATATCTACTCATTCAATACTGAAAAATAAGGAAAGCCCAATTTTTTTGAGAGAAAATAAATGATATAAAATATATATTTTTATTATTATTTTTCTATCTACTGCTCTTTTTCATTTTAAAAAGATAGACAAAATAAATTTGATGATTAGTAATAATTGATTTTTGTGAAACAATCAAACTTTAAAAAAAAAGATGTATAAAGAATACCAAAAATACATACTAATAAATGAAGAATATCAAATAAAAATAATAAATGCAGCATAGTTAATTTATATTTTATCATTATATTGATTTTTTAATGAGCTAATTATTATTAGGAAGAGGAGATTAATTAGTTTATTATATGTTTTTATCCTCTTCTCTCTATAAATATAATCATTTTATATACCATTTAAGAATTATTTAATTAAATAAATAGGGAAGAGGTTTATAGTTCTTAACGAAAAGAATTCTATATTTAATTATAATATTTACTTATCTTATTGCTAAAATACATGCTCCTAATTGAATAGGAGTTAAAAATTCTTTAAGTTATTCCCATATTTAGTCAACCTAAGTGGTTTCACTTTGAATTAGTTTTAATTGATCCTTAATTTTTTGTATTGAACTAAATTTTTGATTAATATTACTCAGATATATTATTTCTGATACTCTATAATTTTGATTCCATTCTTTTGACTTCAATAATTTGATCCTATTAAATTTTTGTTTTTTTAAATGTCTCTTTCATCCATTCAGTATAATCACTAATGATAATAATAAAATCTACTCTGATTATAATGCAAAGAAATCTTTATTCTATTCTACAGAATAAATCAAATATTTAGTTTAGATTGGCAAGCATACTTCAATTATAGAATCAAAGTATTATCTAACAGCATCATTACGATTTTGATTATTTTTATTGGTTAATTATCTTAAATCATCTAAAATCATTGAAATTTCAAATTTATCTTAATTATTAAATATGCAATTTTCCAATTTATCAAATAATAATTATTATTAATCTAAAAAAGTTTAAAACTATATTATTAAATAAAATATACATTCTCTGTATTTTTATTACAAAATTAATTGTCATAAGTTTGATAACAATTATTTTCCTTTAATCTCTTTACTTCATCTTGCAATTATTTCATTTTTATTTCCATAAGTTCATAATATAGTTTCTTTCTGGCTCTTGAATTTCTAGCAGATTCTCTATTTTTAGCTAATTTCTTTTAAATGGAATCCATATTTCCATCAGGAGTCATTTGAAAAGATTATATTTCATGAGATGAGACATCATATTGATATCTAGAAATGTTTGATAATTTTCTCTACTATTTTGATTTATTTTTCCTAATTGAATAGAATTTCTTAATTTTTACGATAATTTTGGAAGTGTATTCATTTCAAAATCCATTTATTTCTGTTGTTGAACTAATTATGTGATTTTATTTGTATAAAAACATTTAGTTTAATTAACATTAAAATGATTTTTGTTTTCTAATACCATATTTTGATTAGCAACTTATTTTATTTCTGACTTGAATTAAGAATTGATTAATTTTCCAAATTCTAAATAAGATAATCAAATTAATATAATATACTTATTTTATTATTGAATTCCTTAGAAGATGGTTCACTATTTCTAATTTCATTATCTTATAATGGATTTTTGTATTCTTTTGAATCTTAAAGTAAATTTACTTACAAATTCAAATTATCAACTCCAATTTCCTCATATTGCATTTCAATATCTTAACTACTCTTAAAAAAGAATGGCATCTATATTTAAGATTCATAGAATTCATAGATTTAAATAGGTGTAACACCTTCTTCCAAGCCAAATGAACAACAATATTATTCAGGTTGAACTAAAAATCCAGAATTGTGAATAAGACTTCCTCCAAAACTTTAATTGTCTTATTGTATTCTACTAAAGCTAGATGATAAACTTTGTGAATAATTAATAGAAGTACATATCTTGCAGACTTCCCAATCCACTATAATTTTACTAAGATATCTCACTTCTATTAGGCATAAAAAAATCACTCATTATTAATAAACAAATTTAGAAACTTATTCTTCCGATAAATTAATTATAATAAAATGCTTACTCAGTTAATAATTAATAAAATTAAAATATATATAAAGTCTAACTCCTATCTAGTTTAATTTTAAATTAGATATAATATTCAATCATTTAGATTCTTATTTATCATGATATTTGTTACTGATTGATAATACATTTGTTCTTTTTTGGAGAAGTTCATTCCTAATGGATTAAGGCAGACTATTAATAATCCAAGGATGATCTAAAGCTTATTCTGGTGTCATTCTTTAATATTGATTCCATTCTAGACACTTGCTTATGAACTAATATTAGATATATTTTATACATCATAAAAATCTGTATCTGCTTTTTCAAGTAATTGTGAAAGAGGTTTCAATTATGAAATTTATTCATTTTCTTTTATTTTATAATTGAGCTAATATTTATCATCAAAAAATTTTGATCTCTTAGGACTTTAATCAATTACTTCTTTAGGAGGCATTCCAAGTACCTTTATTTAAGCATAAAGTAATTCTTTTTCAGATTTAGATTGAAATAGAGACTCTCCTACAAAGAGTTCAGCAATTATACATCCAAAACTCCACATATCTATTTGAAATGTATAATTTATTCCAAATATAATCTCAGGAGCTCTATAAAATCTACTCTTTATTTAATAATATATATATATATACTTGAATATATGTATACATTTTATTATTAGCAAAGCAACTTGAACCAAAATCTATAACCTTAAGACCTGATTTAGTAAATTCCTTTAAGAGGATATTCTCTGGTTTTAGATCACAATGAATTATATTGCATGCTTTCAAATAAAGTAGAGCTTATAGGATTTAGATAGCAAATCTTCTAATTAAATCTGGTTCTAAACCTACAAAATTATTTAAAGCTACAAATTCATAGAGATTACAACAAAGTAATTCAAAAACCATACACTTTCTAAATTAATTAAAATTTCTTACTATATGATTTCTAAATTCAAAATAATTCATTAATTTAATCAAACAATAAGAATTATCTGCTTTATTAATAATCTTAAGTAAATCTATCTCAATTAATGCTTATTAATAAAATTTTTCTCTATTCTTTATAATTTTAATTGCCATCTCCTTATGATGTTTATGATCAAAAACTTTAAAAACATAGCCAAAACTACCATTTCCTAATTTCTCTAGCATTTCATATCTAAAAGCTATTTAATCATGTTTTATAAATCTATAATCTCCACTAAGTAAATAAGTATTATATAAATACTGTTGATTATCATATCCATGATTAAATAAGTTTCCTAAGGGATCTCTTTAGGCTGTTGCAATATTTTTAGGAGCAAGATAATATATAGTTTCATAATCAATTATTTCTTTCTTCTCAAATTCACTGAGTTAATCTTAAAAATATTGTAAAATAATTTATGTTGTTTAAGGAAGTTGAAATTAATCAGCAATTTACTTAATAGTAGTTTAAGGTTGATGAGTTGTCAATGAATAAGTTTTAGTTTAATTTCTTTACTTAATATTGTTAGTGATTTTATTTTAGAGATCCAAAAATTTTTATTAGTTTTTTTCAAGATGAAGAAGTTTTTCAGATTTACTTAAATTAGTATTGTGAAGAATTGGTTGTAATTTCTGACTTGTTTCTTAATCTAATTATTCTGGATGGGTTCTTAGATGTAACTTTGTTATTTAAGGTATTAGATTACTAGTTATCTAAGTATTTATTCCTAATATAATATAAATTTGTGTTACTTTTGGCTTAATCAAACAAATGTATTTAGTCTTATTCTTTTATTAGGATTGATTTTAGTTGAAGATGATAGGATTTTTATTATCCTTTAGTTTAAGTTTCATTTTAATGAAGATCAACTTGTATACATAAAAAATAAACATACTATGATTGCTAAAACTAATTGGTTTGTTAGATTTTGTAATTTCAGGAGGAGATTTGATATTTTATCTTTGTGTGGCTCTACTAGTTATTGGTTAGTATTCTTTTATTAATTATTTTTGAGTTTATCGAGCAGGGTTAATTTTATAAGGACTTTTGCCAATAATATCAAAGCTTCTTATTTTTTTAGTAGAATTTTTGGTCGAGTACAAAGTAGTTGCATTTTATTTGGGCTAGATGTTGATGAGATTTAATAAACTGAGTTATTTCATTATATTCCACTTTAATGAAAATTAAAGTATTTACAGATCAAAAAGTATTTATATGTAAAAATATTTAGTATTAACATAAGATAGGGTAATAAAAATATATAAATTTTAAGAAAATAGTATATATATTAGGAAATCTTATATAATAGAAAATCATAATTATCTATATTAATATGTTTCCTTTTGTAAACAATCTATTTCGAAGTGATTTCCCTATGTTCTTATTTGATGATCACTTCATTCCAGGACCAGGAATAAGAGTAGGAGTTCCTAGACCACCATATACCAATAGACAATATAGAGATTAAGCTCCTAAAGTAATTTCAATTAGATAATTTAGAAGCCACCAAGTTTGAAGTTGATGTAGAGTGTTAGAAAACCACTGAAAGATTATACAGAAAACCAAGGATAGTATTGGGCTATCTTAGGAGATGAAGCATATGAAAAAGGGGATTTCTTTCAAGCTATAACTCATTATACTAAAGCAATTGAAATTTCAGAGGGAACTGAAAGCTCATTCTTTCGTAGTAGAGGATTATCCTTCAAAATGACTGGAAATTTAGATCCTGTAAAATATTTTTAATCACAATATTTAAGGCTTATCGAGATGCAATCCATGCTATAGAATTGGATGATAAGAATATAAAGGCTCATTTGCTTTGTGGATAAGTATTGGCAGAAAGAGGAAAGAAAGCTGATACTACTTAAGAAATTGAGACAGCAATAATTAGATTGACTAAGGCGAGAACTTTGTGTGCTGGATAAAAGAAAGAGTATTATGAAGATGAATTGAGTAAGTACATTTATAGAGCCAAAAAATTATTATGGTACAAAAATTAAGAAATACATAATAAGAATAAAAGATTAGCTATTGAGAATTATAAAACTTATTTAAATTAAAGATAAGATCTAACTCCTGAATAGAAGTAAAAAGAGTTGGAGGGATTCATTAATTCTATAGGGAATCCAGATTAAAAATAAGAATATGATATCCCCAGTTATTTAATATGTAAGATAACTTTGGTAATTTAATTATAATACCATTTTATAGGAATTGATGGAAAATCCAGTTGTTAATGATGCTGGTCAAACTTATGAACGTGATATGCTTATAGAGGCTTTGAATAAGAATGGACCTAGTGATCCTACAACAAGATAACCAATTAGCAAAAGATTTTACCCAAATCTTAATGTTAAGTAAGCTACTTAAGATTTTCTATTGAATAATCCATGGGCATTTGAATTTTCAAAAGGAGAGGAGTATTAAAATATTGAGTTTTGATTATAATTAATGTTAGTTATAATCCGTTTTTATTATAATAAAAATAATGAGAGTCAGCATATTGCTATTAACAATTTTGATGATGGGAACATTAGCCTAAGATAATGAGGTTGTTGTCTAATTATTGGCTGAATTAAGATAAGAGGCAGTTGAATAATTACAACTTTTGAATGCTAGATTCTAACCAATCAAGTAAGCCAAATTAGATTAAATTGCAGTGATTTAATAAGCAATTTCAGAATAAAAAGGAGAGTGCTACAACAGATAGCAAGATGTAATTAAGCATATCATAACTTTGAATAGGTTGAAGCTAAGCAAACTGAAATTGATTTGGCTAATGAATATAAGAATTGGATGAGAGCAAGATAAGAAAGCAATAATAATCGTATTGGAGTTCTTTCTACAAATGTATGTGAGAAGAATAATAATTCTTTGAATAAAGTGAAGAATGGAAGAGTTTTATTGAGATTGATTGCTTACTTAAGAGCCACTTTATAGGCTTAATTATCAACATCATTTGCAGAAGTCAAAGAGAATACAATTTCTGAAATATCTCATATTGTCACTGCTTATAAAGAATATAGAAAGATGAATATGTTATAAACAAAATAAGAGGAGTTAGAATTGAATGGCACAATTGAATAATTAATAGAAATGTTAAATTAAATGGAAAGAGAAATCTAAGATGATGTGGCCAATGGTTAAAATGGTTAAGTCCAAATTGGAGTTACTTTCTCAGAGTTCAAAGTGAGAATTGAAAAAGAGAATGACATTTTCAATAGATAAATTGAAGTCCAAGATGATTTGATTACAGTACTTAGAATCATTAACATTTATAGCATTTTCAAAATTAATTGACAACATTATATGGAAGAGTCAACAAATGTGAATCAAGATAGAAGGAAATAGAATATACTTTATTGGTGGCCTAGGAAGATTTAAGATACGATCAAGAATGGGCTGATGAAGACAGAATAAGATTGGAAGAAGAAATTGAATTATTTGATTGGTTAATTAAACATTACTAATCTGGTAATTTTGATGATGAAACTGATGGAACTGGTAATACTGATAATGGATCAATTGATGGATCTGCAAATGGACAATCAGTAAATTATAATGAAATCAATTAGGGTTTAACTGGAGATGATAGAGATGGAGTTATTGATTATACACCATTGAAAGAAGTATCAAATGCCTGGGGATCTGAAGATGAAGGTGATAATCATTAAAATGGAAATGATAATACAGGAAATAATGCCGAAAAAGAAGATAGAGGGGATGTAATTGATTACACACCTTATGAAGAAAAAGATCTTGATTGGGATTCCTTATTGTAGAAAAAATAAAATAAGAATCATCGTTAATCAAAGAAACATCATACTCAAAAGTCCAAAAAATGATTTATTAATCAAATCATAGCTTATTTCATATAAAATGTTGATGCTTTCAAAATCATTAACAGTTCCGGTATAGTCTAGTGGTTAGGATATCAGGTTCTCACCCTGGGGACCCGGGTTCAATCCCCGGTATCGGAATAATTTTTTTATTTTTTATAATATAATTAAACAATTCTTAATTACAATTTTATTTTGGTTGTTTTCAAACTTTATTTAATGAATACTAGTTGGAGATAAAAGTTCGAAAAGGACAAACAATATCCTAGACATCCTATGTCACATAAAAATGGTACTTTCTAGTTTTATTTTAAAAAGGTGGAGTTCATATGAATTAAGAAGACGATACCAAGCTTTTTTAAGTTGCTGGTGCCATGATGAAATAAATTGGTAGTAAGATAGCTAAAGGGGATTTTAATTTAGCTACTATTCCTAAACCAATATGTCTGACAGCTCCCTTAACATGCAATGAATGTCTTCTTTTGTAATGATTATGTTTATATTCTCAGTGATTTTGATTATACCAACCTTTATCTAACAGAGGCTGCTAAATGTAGAGATGCTTTGAGAAGAATTTAGTTAGTTGTGGTCAATGAAATTGCTTATCTACATGGAACACACACTTATTTGAGATCATTGGCTCCAATCGATCCTATGATTGGAGAGACTTGTCACAGAATAAAAGAAGATGGAACAGAATTTTATTGTGAATTCATTAAAGCTGATCCTCCCACTACTCTTTATCATGTTATTGGAGATGGTTGGCAAGTGTATGGAGGTGAGGTTGTCCTTGCTGAAATTCATCCAACATTTTCTTAACTGATTGGAAGAAACTTAAAGCCCAAATATATAAAGTTTAGTGATGGAAAGATATATGAGATTTCAGTGCCTGCCATGATTATTAATGGATTATTGAAAGGAGATCGTGTACTCAACAAATTGGATGGTTTTGTTATCAAGTGTGTACAAGATAAATTGGAGGCCCAGATAAATTTTAGTTATGTTTATGAAGATAGCACAACTAAAATAAAAAATAAGTTGATGTTTTGGTCATAATAATAATAAAAACCACTTTCAGATTTGGTTGATGTTAAAATAAACAAATTAATTAATGTAATTAATAATATTATTAATCAGACTGATGATGATAATAATAATTAAAGTTTCACTGTTTCAACAGGATCAGGATCATGGTTGTCTTATTTTGAAATAGATGGGGATGTTTGTTGGAGAATAGATGATTCAATATCTCAATGGGAGAAACCGTCAAATTTGATACCAAGTGATTCAGCATTTAGATAAGATAAAATACTTATGCTTAAAGGATAAGATGATGCTGCATAAATGTAATGAATTTACATAATCTAAGTGCAAGAAATAGTATTGAAAAATAAGGATAAAAGGATGCAAATTAAAGAAAAAGGAGGAGATGAGTGTTTATATATATATAAAATTATTATATCATTTATTCTAAAGATTTACTTATTTCAAATGATATAATTTTTAAACTAATTAAAGAATTTATTGATCTAAATTGTTCTATTCTTATTGCATACATTTCTAACATCTAATACATTCTTTACATATAATAAAGTCATTTGAATAATTCATTGTTTTTAATAAAATTTAAAATAATTACTAATTGTTTTATTTTAACTAAAATTAATATTCTAATTAATATACATGTTCATCATCTAATTCACAAAGTGCAGGTAAAATATAAATATCCAATAATTATTTATAATTTTAAGTTTCTCTTTCTATTTCTTAAATTCTTAATTTTTACATTTATTAATCTTATTCATCTAATAATGTATTTTATTTTATCATTTCATACTTTTTAATAAATATATCTATTGGAATAATCAAAGAATCAATATCAAATATATTATGATTCTTTAATTTGTATTTTTAAATAATGATCATACAACCATATGCTTCTCTTTCCTATTTGAGTAAACCAGGTAAGAACTTCATATCTTGTAAGACTCCTTACTTCCATATTAAATATCTTTATTCAATCTATTAATTAAATTAAAAAGCAAATTAATATGAGTATAGAAATGTATTTTCAATAGTTAATAATTATTTCAAATTTAATTTTTGATTGAAATGTTATAATATTTCTATACTTATTTAGATCATTAATAATTAAGAAGTACATTAAGTAAAACAATCTTCTATCATATTTCTCATTCTACTTGAAGTTAAAGATTAATTGGCAAAACTTGATAATTTTGTAGGTGTAGTTAATCTAATCATTCTATCAATAAATTAAATAATTTATTCCCATTCTTCTTCAATAAACATCATTCCAATTTTAATTGTCATATTTTTTACAGAATGAATACTATATTTTGCTAATTTAACATTTTAATTTTGTATACAATTTTCAAATAATTTTAAAAATTCAGGTAATAACCCTCTTAATTTCTAAAAGTATCGTTTCATCAAATTAATAATAAAAGAAAATCCCTTTTTACATGAATTCTTAAACCAATCATTATTAGAATTAGCCATTGTATAATTTTATTAAAATGTAAATTGAATTTCATCAAAAATTGGTCTAAGTACAGTACTAAAGACCATTTTCCAAAATTCTGTACTGAAAGCATATCCAAATTATTACAATGATTCAAATAAGGTTTCCATTGATTTTGCTTATATATTGTTTCTCTTATCTCCTGCTAATTATGATAATACTCCAAGTAAAGGAATCCATATCTTTTCAAGTTAAATTGCTGTTGATGCATTTCTAACAGTAACCTCTTATTCTTCAAATTCATTCCAGTTTAATTTAGGTATTATTTATGCTTACTTTGATAAATAACCTAAACATAACATAGTAAAATCAATAGATGCCAATGCCATATCTTCTTAATTATTGCCTGCTAAAATCTTTAAAGTCTGAATAAGATCAATAAAAACATCTTATAATAAATCAAGATTATGTTCCATAATTTATGATAGAATTTAAAATGCAATTTTACAAATTTTATCATTTTCCTCTTTTAAACCCAATGTGATTAAACCAAAAACCATTCTCCATCCAGATCTAATATTATTTTTATGATTTAAGACTATATGATTGATACACGAGAGTATGAATTCCTTGACTTCTAAATTAGACTATAAAAATATAGTTTCGAAAGGTTTTAATACATCTCTTTAAAATTAAAAGTCATATAACTCATCCTTTTAAAGAAATTTAATGCTTAATTATTTAAGTGAGTCTACAGTAAATATTGCAACTTTCTTTTCTTTTACAGCTACTTCATTAATATGATCTTTAACTATATTCCACATCTTTGTCCATACAAAACTTACCCTTTTCATATTGTAATCACATACTTCAACTAATTTTTAAAGACAAAATAAGCGTGGATGAGTTTGATAAATTTCTTGTTTTGACATATAACATAGAGCATTGATAAATTCTTATATAGCTTCATCATCTAATTATTTTGATTACACAAATATTTTATCTATTAGATCTGATTCCAATAATAACTCAGGTAATATATTGATATTTAATCCATCAAAATTATCCTTAGATTATTATATCATTCTCATTTCATCAAGTCTACTTATCATTGTTAAAATACTTTTCCATCCATTCTCTCTTAATCCATTTCCAATTAAAGGAACAGTTTGCAAAATTTATTTTATTAAATTGATATGTTTATTTGATATCTAATTTAATTGATTAAGTCTTGTAGCCTTTAATAATGGATTCATGTAATCTTATAATGGAATTGAAAAAAAAGAACATAATTTAATAAATAATACTAATCCCTAAATACATTGATTTGAAGCTTATACCATCTAATCATTATTAAAAACAAATAAAAACATTTCAAATGTAAACTTTCCTATACATTCTAAAAATGGTTTTATTAAATAAGCCATATCTTAATTAATAATCTGATAAATAGTTTCATGTGAATCTTATTTTGTTTTAATTAACTCACTTCCTTCTTTTAATAAAGCTTCCTTTTCTCTTTAAAATAAATCCTATTTCTTTCTTATATTTTATGTAAGAGATTCTTTTATAAATACACGATTTTTCTCTTTTTCTCGTACTGCTAATGGTTATTTAAGTATAGAATTATAAGTTTGAATTAAATATTCTTATGGTAAATCATCACCATCATTGATAGATTTAGCTAACTTTTGAAAATCACTTAATTTCATTTTTTCTGCAACTGAAGGATTATGTAAGTCTGTCTATAACATAACCAATAGATAACAATATGTATATATACTTCCACTAGATTTAAAAGCTGAATTTGGATTTTCTTTGTAATACCTATCTGAGAATTTTTAGACTACTCTATCCACTTGCATTGCTTCTCCTGGTAATGTAAATTAATCTAAATAATATCTTAATGCCTATTCAACAGTTAAATCTTTGAATTTCAAAATATCAGTAAATTCACTTAAAACTTTAATATTTAATTGTTGATGTCCTCCTAAAAATGCTCCAATTGCATTTTTACTAATTTATTACTAATTTTCTCTGAAAAACTTAGCAATTTCTTTAGCACTAAATTAATGAACAAAATTTACTCATTTTAAATAATTTGAGCATCTAATAAATATTTGATTCCTTTATCAGGATTTTTTTAAAATATTTAACATCCTTTCATAATTTCTTATTTCAATTATCTTTGTATTTCAATAGGATTTATATACATTACAGTTGTATTATCATTAACATTTGTATTTTAATCATCCATTTATGGTGATCCAATCTCTTCAGAAGGTGAAATGATAAATTAATCAAATACCTTATTTAAACCTTCAATTATATAAGACATAGCTTTGATAGCCAAATTTTTTAAAAGAGTTTCTGATTATGTTTAAATTTAATATTCTGCTTTTTAATAAATAGAAATTACAATAATTTCATAGAAAGTATGAATAATTTTAGACATTAAACATTCATGTTTTGTATGACAATCATAATTTATATAAAATTCCAAACCAATTTTTGGTCTTTCTAAAATACTACATAGACTCTCAAGAGCAGTTTGTTTATGTAAGACATTTGAATTAGCACTTAAAAGTATATTCAAATAAATTTGGTTAATAAAGATTGATATTTCATGTTTAATACTTTTTCTCATGATACAAACTAATCGTTAAAATATTCTGAAACTAAATTGATATAAAGTTTTTTCTGTTTCTAAACAATATTTTAATAATTAATTGCATAATCTCTCTTTAGTTATTTTAATGAATTTTTCATTTTAACTTAATATAAAATCAGGAGTTTCAAGAATATACAATAGACATTCAAGAATGATTTATTAGTTTTTAGCTTATTATAAAGTAGTTTTATTAAGTAATAGATTGCATAAGCTATCATATAATTGTAAAGCACAGTCAAGATTTTCTTCATATTATTTTAATGCTCCATTGTAAGTATTTTAAACTTGTTCAACATATTCTTAATGTTATTTTTTGCATATGAATGAACAAATTGGGACTCTATAATCTTTACAATAAAGATTAGCTTATTTTCTACACATTATACAATAACCAAAATAACCTGATGGTTGTTATTTTTCATTTAGAATGTTAGATTAAGGAGAGAAATTAAGTGATCTTTTATTTAAAGATACCATATCAACTAATTATAGCATAATTAATTGAGTTAATTTTTAGAGTGAATCTTCTTTGATAGACATTTTACGTTTGTTTCTTTATATAGTGAAAACCTAATAAATTGATAATGAATTTTATTACTTCTCCTTCTACAGCTTAGAATGTATAATTTATAATTTAATAGAGCATATTTTTAGCATTTCTATCAACAATTTATGTTCTAGAACCTGTACGAGTGTAAGAAAAGATAATAGTTTTAATAATTCTTGTGAGATTTTGTGATGTAACATAACAATATGGATTCAGAACAAATGTAACTAACAATTTTAGACCTTGAATAATTATCTCATCCTTATCAAGAAGACATGATGTAACAGAATTAATTAATGCATCTATGATTGTCTATTATAAATATGATGTATATACTTTTTTTTGACCTTTATAATAATTAGAATCATTAAAAAGTTCTGAAAATTCTTCGGTATAGAATTCTTATGAAGTGTCTTCTATTCTTCCATCAATAAAGCCATTTGAAACTAATTTCTAGTTGATTCAATGATTAATTGATTACAAATAATATAGATAAAGTTAATTATGTTAGTTTGGTTTATCTCATATTGAAAGTCAATCTGAAAACCACCATATGTTTTCCCAATTAAGGGAGGCTTTCATATTTGACAAGATCTTAATTTCTTAACTCCATAAATACCAATCATTTTGTTTAAAAAGTCTTTGAAAGAAGGATACTATTTTGGAATATTCTTTCTAACTTTATCCATATAGTGTAACAATATTTCTTTATACTTTGATAGCATTTATTGTCTATTCATTAATAAATAAATTATGGGAAATTGTGTGACCAATAGAACCAAAATCTCGACCAATCTAGATAAACCATAAAAATAATACATACATCAAGCATTCATTAGATAAACTCTAACAAATCCTGAGTATTATTATTTGGTACTCATTCTTTAGATCACGAAACCAATTATTGTTATTTGAAGACAATTTCAATGAAATATTTGATGACATTCCATATTTAGGACAATATGCTTATTGGTTTTTATTGGGATTGTAAAATAATGAATTAAAAGGAATTGAATATCAAACAATCTTATAATTTTCAGAAATATTTATTTTGGGTAATTCTCAAAATGAAATGTTAACATTACCAAATAGAGTTTCTTTAATAATAGCAATTATTACACTTTTTGGTAATTTAAATATTCAAAATGCACTTAAAGAATTTTCATCAATGTAAATAACTTATCTTTTAACTTCTAAATGTTTATAAGTATTTATATCAATGATGATCAGAAAATCAAATATAAATGAATTACCTATTAAATCATTTGTAGATGCTATATTTTCTAAACTTGATGTTAATATTCCAATTTTATAATTTGTAAAATTTATAGATACATTTATGCCATCATTAGAAGAAATTATTGAAGATTATTATTATGATAAATTTCTAGGTGAATAAAAACTATTTCATTCTCCTCAATTAAATAATCCATCACATATTTTAAATCAAGAATGGTTAGCACTTATGTATTTATGTTTCATGCATAAAGACACTAGTAAATTAGAATTACTTTATTCTAATGTTCTTAATGATAATTCTTTTGAATTACTAACTAATCTATTAATTCATTAATCATCTAGTTATTTATTCATTATATAATGTGAACATGCTGCCAGAAAATATATTTTTGGAGCTTATACTAATTTTGAATGGAAAGATGATGCATTACCTAATGGAAGTAAAGAAGATTGTATTTTCTAATTATTTCCATAATTTAGAGTATATAGAACAAAAAATGATAAATTTACTAGATCATAATATGTTTATTTAAATTCAAAAAATGAAGAATTAGCTAAAGGAATAGGATTTGGAGGTGAATTAGCTAAAGAATTTAGAATATTCATAAATTCAGATCTTTAAAATGTTTAATGTAAAAATCATGATAAGACATATGAACCAGGTGAATTAATGCCATTTAAATAAGGAAAAATAACATTAATGGAAGTTTGGACAATTTAATAAATATAAGGTACTACTTAATTTAAAGATTTAATATAATAAAAAATGGAAGATTAAATTGAATTTGAAGAATTTGAAATACCTTAAATACGTTTAGATGAAGATATTAGTTCATATAGATCAGGGGAACATTCTTAATTGAATTAATCTATAAATGAATTAAAATAAAAAGATTCTTGTGATTGGGAAGGTTCTAGTTAAAATGGATTTGAAGAAGAAATAATAATAAAGAATGATGGATATGAAGAAGTAAAGAAAAATGAAAAAGAATTTGAAATTGTTGAATTAAATGATAGTGTAAATATTTTATATATATTATTTTATTAGAATAACAAAACAAGTATTAATATACAAAATTAAGTAATTGTTAATAATAATTAATTTGAATTTGAAGAAGTAGCTATTAATACAACAGATAAAATGGAATCATCTGCTCTTTAAGTAGTTTATAATGTAAAATCAGGAAAATTTGGTGATGCATCTTAAGATGATAAGTAAATATTTTATATATAAAATAAAGTTGGAATGGAGATAATTCTGATTGGAAAGGAGATACTAGTAGTTCAAGTAAACCAAAAGAAATGCTTATAAGTTAAGATTTAAAGATTATCAATGAAAATCTTCAGGATTAAACCAATACAGAATTGTGATTATTGTAAAAATCAAAATTTATATTACTTATTATATATATAAATATCTGTTTTAATTGTATAATAAAATTATTATATATGTCCTAATAATATTATATATATCAAAACTACAATAATCTATAGATTTGATAAGAAATAATTAAATTATAATAATTCATAAAACATATCAGAACCATCTTTTGGCCCATAATTTAAGTTTCTCTTAACCACTAAATAAATTCTTAGATATAGCAATTAATCTATCACATTTAGAATCAATAATTCCATTATCATAAACTATATCTTTTAATTTTTTAATAAAAGGTTCAAGAGAATCTTTGCATCCCAATTACCAAAATACTACATTCAAATATTCTTAAAGACTAATAATAATATTATATATTATTACTCATTATTAAGAATGCCAATGATGGTTGCTGTGAATGTTGGTATTAAATATGCATTTAGATTTATTTCACCAACTAAATGTTCAATATTTCTTGAATATCTAATAGCAAATGGATCATATAAAATGAGTCTTTGATTATTGACTTTGAATAAATATTTCTTTTGATAAAAGTTTCCATTGCTCAAATTAATTTATAGGTTTTCCAATTATTTTGGTGATTAACTACTAGCCATAGTAAAGGATAGAGCAAATTAAACTGCAATATTGACAACCATTATTTTTCTAATTTAAACAAAAGTGTCAATTGTTTTTGAAAATCTTAAAATAATATTTGTTAAATCATTTTTCTATATTTAATCTACTTATGTACTATATTATAATAATTATATAAATACTTATAATATGGTATTTTGTTAGAAGGATCATTCTTAGAGTTTGTATGATAATGAATTTAGAGAATAGTATCTAGAATATTACTAAGATTATAGGTTTCTTCTTAATATGGTTCTAATTAATAATTTAGTTTATCATATTCTAAAAGATATTTATCTGTAACAATATGTTTTACATTTCTAATTTTAGTTTCCTTATGATTTTAATTTAATATATTTGTCATTTTCACAAATTAAGTTGATATATGTTCATCAAGAATACTTTATATAGGTTTCTTATTTTCAATTTTTTTAGTTTTTAAAAGGAAGAAATATTTCTTTTCATCATTCCCTAATAAAGCTATTTATCTAATAAATCGTTTTCTCCTTAAAAACATAATATGAATGGTTGGAAACATATTTGTAATATAAATTGTATCATATGCTTGAGTCCTTTTAATTTATCCATCTATTCCCAACATTGGTAGTTGATTCATTTAAAATTCATCATTAATTGAATATAATTAATCAATTGAAATTTATTTTGACATTAATGAATTAATAGAATTACTTAATTATAATGGAAAATCTTCTTCAAAATTCATTTTGACTCCAAAAAGATTAATATATACACATTTTAAAGTAGTCAAATAAATTGATTAAATGGTTTTAAGTTAATCATTTTTTAACTATTTATTTAAATCATTAAATTGCCAATATTATTTAATCATATCTTTAATTTAAGGATTCTTTTGAATAATATTTAAAATATATTAACATCTATCATTTATATTATTAGAATTAATTTCAAAATGTTTAGAATCTAAGATTTTTCCACATTAATATATTATTTCTTCAACATTATCCCATACTTATTAATCAAATATAGAATTGTAAAGATAACGTAATGAATATATTGATGCTATTTTCTGATTTAATTTTGATGATTTTTAAATAGAATTTATAAGTTATAATGATCTCTCATCAGTACATTATCCTAAACTCTTTAAATATTATATTAGTTATAAACTATTAAGAGGATTAAATATGCATAATTTATTGATAGCATCTAAACAATCTTTTCTTGTTTAATCACAAGGAGTTTAAAGATAAGTTGATACTAATTAAGTTAAGAATCTTTATAATAAATGTAAAGGTATCAATCCAACTATTTAAGAGAATGCATCTGTTACAATTGAATCAGTTTGATTTGTGATATTCAGAATATAAAACATATACATACCTGTAATTGGGAATTTTTACGGTTTATATTACATACTTAATGGTGTTATTTAAATATAATGATGTGCAAATTTTATATTATTGCTATATTTTTTATGAGCAAGTTAATATATTTTATGAGCTTCTTTCCAAAATTTCAAATAATTAACTTAATTTTAAATAAAGAAATCATTTGTTTAACTAACCATAACTTCTAGTTTTTATTCTTCAATTTACATAGCATTAGACTCATTTGATTGATCTAATCTCAATAATTTATAAAATTAATTGATCATTTTATATCTTCTTATTTTACTAATCATATAATTTTTGAATTCTTCTGCACTATATGTCCCTAATTATAAGGAATTGAAATAATTAAGTAATTCAGTCAAATTTGATTAATTATTGTCCACATCTTAAAATTTAATTGTTTTAAATTTGATTTTCTCTAATTAATATATTTTCTCAGCATAAACTTATAAAACTTTAGGTATTTCTTTTAGAATTTATTATTCATCAAACAATTCAAATATTCCATTTTATTAATAATATCTCATTGGATATAATAAAGTCTTATAATCCAAAGCAGCTAATTAATAACTCTTTTAATCTAAACTTGTATTTGCAGGTAATTATTGATTAGTAAGTAATTAACTTAATTAACCATTAAATCTTTATAAACACATTTATAATTAAACCATTCTTTAACTTATTAAATCAAAAGTAAACTCTTATTAATCTATAATTGTTGGTTGTCTTTCAAAAAAATACTTTTTACATAATAGACTAGATTAATAGGAATTAGATATTATATCTAATAATTAATCATAACCAGTTTAAGCTTAACCAGGAAAGGCAGGTTGAGTAGGAGCATATTATCTGAGACTTTCTTCTAATTCTGTATAGAGTTAGAATTGAGATACAAAATTAAGGAATTTACTACCCCATAATTAAGGTGATGACATCATTTAATCATATGATTAAGTTAATTTAGGTAATGTTTTGATGAAATTATAGCAATTGATAATTTGTGCATATTTAAGATTTTATTCAATTGATTATAAAACATGATTACCACCTCTTCCATGTTGATTTGAAGATGCTTCATCTCTAACAAAATCAAGTAGTTTGAAATAAGCTTAATTATAACAATAATGATCATTTTATTGTATATTTTATTTGATCTCTGATAATGAATTCAACTCTTTCCATCCTTAATCTGTAGTTTCTCTTTATCTTTCTCTAAATCCCATAATAATTTTATTTTAAACAGCTTATACTTTACTTAAATCTACTTATTTGAGTGTATTCCATTAATTTAATTATTATAATGATTCTGTAAATAGTTAATGAATAATTTATTAATCATATTCTTTTTGAATACCTTAAGCTTCATTAGTTTCTTATTCTAATTACAACCAAAATTAATCAACTGTTTCTTAATTATTTAATATTAATTAATAGGATTGAGCAGGTTCTCTTAATTAATTAATTAAAACTAATTATCTAACCCAAGGTTAAGTAGCAGTCAATGCTTTACAACCCAATAAACATTATTTATTCCATTATTCTTAATATACACCTTATAATTATATTAGGATATCTTCATTTAATTATGAATAATAGGATGAATCCTCTTCATTCAAATATTAATAAATATATTCTAATAAATATTATGCTGATGGTAATAAATTCTTTTATTTAAGACACATGATTAAATTATTGAAATTAAGTTGAGTCTATTGATTCTCCATTATATCATAAATATTGGATATCTGAGATTGTATTTATTGAACTAAATAATTAGATATAGTCTATAGTGTTCCATTAGATATAGATTATTATGAAACATAATCAGTTATTTGAGTTATAGTTTTGATATCATTGATAATAACTTGATTAAATATTGGTTTGAGCAATCGACTACTTACATTAGCAGCTGTACCCATCAATTCAATAGCAGCACTTGGAATAATACATTCTCTTAATGGTTATTATGGTTAATCTTAGATTGGAATATATGATAAATTGTATATTACAATAGATGGTAAATATTCACTTGTAAATAGTTTAATACTTGAATTATACAATTTCTACCAATATTTCTTTCTATAATATATTGCCAAATATTTATTTAATACTTGTTCTCTCATCATAGAATCTTCATCTTTTGGTACTACTTTTACAATAATTTGATTTGGTTGAGTTGGTTAGAATACTTTTGGAGATAACATATATCCTCTTCCTAAAATCATTAATTTAACTGCCATTAACATTATCTCTTCTCCTTCTGTTTAAAGTGGTTAATCTTACTATTTACTACTAGGATCTCCTAATACAAATTATAAGAATCTATCATAAGTATATCCATAAATATCTAATATCATTCTATAAAAGAATTGTAAATAATCTAAACATGTACTCAATTTACTTATGGCTAATAATATACGTCTAAATTCTCTTAATGAACCATTCCCTTTATCAAATATATTCTTTAATAAATAAAATCCACTATTAATTGATCCTTATTATTTCTTAAATGGATATACTAACAATAATTCACATAAGAAAATAAAATATAACTTGAATACTTTAAGATCTTATATTTTCCCATGTTGATTATCATAACTATCAGAACTTCTTTAATCTATCTTTTTATCAAACATGCTTTGGAATTTATTCAAATCAAAAAAGAAACTTAATTATAATTCATATGACATTTTAGATGGTTTAAACTATTAATTCTCCTCCATTTTCTTTAACTCTTATCTTACTTAAAATGATCTTACTGGAGACAGATAAACTGATATTGCTTATAAATAACCTTCTCCATTTGAAATTCCATTAATAAATAACATTCTTAATATTGCTATACATTCCAATTTCAATTCATAATCAGGTACTGATTCTATTATCCATATTAACATTTATAAATATTCAATCTATTCTTTTTAATCTTTAATTTCATCAAAATTATATGCTATCATTTTTAAAGTCTTTTGAAGTGCTGATCTATA